CAAAAGATGAGTGATAATATATATATATTTATTTTTTTTAAGGAGTGTAAGTGGATAAAAAGAGAGTGGGAAAATCAGTACTCTTTTTAAAAAATCAATAGAAATCTAAATTGAATACACAAAAACTTTTACAAACTCTTTTTAAATCTTAATTGAATACACTTAGACTTTTAACTTCTGAATTAAATGCACCTCCTAATTCAAGTATTTTATTATTTAAAATGGTAAATTTCACTTTTCTACATGGAAGTTTTTTGACATTCTGATTTTAGTACATAAAGTTTTTTATCAACTTCGTACCCAAAGTTTGACTTTTTAATCATTTTCATATTTCCATCAATCATTCCATCAATTACTCTGCTAAACGATGATATGGCAATCAATGGTCCAACGTGAACTCATTTATATTGTGCCAATTGGACTAAAAAATTAACCATTAAAACTGGAAATACAAGTAAAACAATAAAAATAAAAATAAAAACTCTCTGCGTTGCTCTCTGCGAGTTCAGATTCTGGGTGTTTTTTGGCCGCCGTGAGCTCTGCGTTGCTCGCAGGAGAGAATGGTGTGGAGGTTGTCTGCTGGGTTTGTTTAATTAAATCAATTTTTGTTTGACTGGGTTTCATTAATTAAAAAGGAGAAACTAAGTTTGATGAGTAAATATGCCTGGCTAAGGATTGATTAATTGATATGGTTGGGTTAGTGGCTGTCCTGTCGGAGAGAGGGGAGGGAAGGAGTGGGTGTAGTTAGCAAGCTATCGAACAGAGAAGATGAGAGAGAGGTACTTTGTTTTTGTTATATTTTATTTTTCCTTTTTTAAAAAATTATTTATTTAATCTTTTGTTCTATATAGCAAATATATAGACGAATCATTAAACCAAATCATCATTTGAGAAAAAATAATAATAATAAATAAATTGCCACGTCATGTGGCATAAAATCCTACTGCATCATCATGTAGCATTTGACGGAAGTGCTGGGTAGTTTCCGAACCTTTTTTGTATTTTTATTTTTTGTGTATTTATACAAGCCGCCCTAACACCATTGCAAAACTCATCAAACACGTAACACTCTTACACAGCCAGAAGCTAAGCAAAGGGGAGGAAACACAGGACAGCTGAAGAAGAAATGAAGAAGAATCCAGGTAAGGAAGTGGTTGCAGCAGGCAATAAAAAAAAATGCGTTCAACCAAAGACTTCAAATTCTGCAAGTGTGATTCCAGCAAAAAGGAGGTCAGTGAAGCGAATGATGTTTGATTCCATGGTCCAATCTATGGCCTCTCTTTTTCACTCTCTCTCCAACTCCAAGTCCAACTCCAAGTCCACCATTGAGGCTACAACCAAGAACTCCAATATCATATTTCCCCATCCCAAGTACTCCAAGTCCTAGCAAGTATATTAATGTCTCTGTTCTCAGTCTCAGCTTATGTTAAATAAACATGGTTTGTGTGTCCCAGTGGAAATGTTGTGGGCTTGATCAGTTTCCATATGGATGATCATGTCCCAAAAAACTATCATGTCGTTTTGAAATTGTTGCAGTATATATATATATATGAGAAGTGTGATGTTATGTTTACTGATTTCTGTAATGTCTTAAATTAAATAAAAGTTTTTAATTGTTTTAAATTGCCAGAGGTTCATGCAGATATATTGAGACATATATAAGGGGTTGCCAATTTCAATTATGTAAAATTTTAGTTAATGAAATCTTAATATTCATTATTATTATAGTTAGAAACCATCCAACGTGAAATTCATCAAAGGTTAAGGTAGCCAAATCCTGGAACATACTAGAGGTGAAAGTCGGTGTTGTTGACGATGATGATGCTTGTCATTGACAAGTCTGCGTTGATCAAAAGCTGAAAAGGTCGGTGGTTCTCGTAGAGTAAGATATGAAAGCAATGACTTTTTTGTTTTTTAAAAAAAAAAATTTAACGAACAGTTAAATGAATGATTTTTGTGGACGTGAGTATATTATATGAATTTCATTGGACTCTTTAAATTAATTAACAGACCCGCATTCTCTTCAATCTCAGAAAAAAAGTCAATTATTCAGTGGCTTTTGTTCCAGATTAAATTCATCACGCTGCAATAAAATGGTGTAGACTTTAGCACCTGAGGTCAAGATTTTTGGAATTGATGACTACTCAATAAAGCTAACTCCAAGTCAAAGGGTGGAAATTACATTGGTTACCCAAATCTGCTGGGTGATTAACTTCATGTACCGGTAATTTTTCAGGGAAATGGAAATGGTTATCTCCGGTCATAGAGCTAAATGTAATATATGGCTATAAATTAGTGGTGAAGCCAGGATTTCATGTGTGGGGGCCTCTTACAAATTATAAAGAATCATAAGTTCGAACTCACAATGCATACGACAAATAATATATATATATATATATCACATATGTCAAGAATTATATTGTTGATTGGTTGCAATCATAATTGTCCTCGACAAAGGGATAGAAAAATACATTTTAAGCAAGAAAAATTGTAAGAGATAGACAAAGAGTAGCGATTTAGCAAATATCTTTAAAGTTTTTTCCCCCATTAAACCCAATAGAAAGAAAAAATCAAAATTTCACAAACTAAAAAAATTTATGTAAAAATATTGACTAAGTATGAAAAATGGTTTTTCGAAATAATCAATTTATCAAGATAATTTTTGGCGGCTTTTATTCCTTACACATCAAATAAGAAAACTTGATTTTATGGGATTTTAGTATAAAGTATAAATTGACTTAATGAGCCATCATTTTTAGCCTAAATCGTATTTTGCACTAAAACCGATTTTTCATATTTTGATTTTGTGGGAATTTGATTTTCTAATATTTTTATTTGAATCCAAATAAGGGGTACTTTCTTATTTACATTGTAAACTTAAGTAAATGGAGTAATATAAAAATAAATGAAAGTAAAAGGACAAAGACATTTGCTTAAATGCTGAAAATAAAAATAAGGTAATCTGTACACCTAGAGTACACCACCACCAACTGAGCAAATGGGCAATTTGAAGCACTTCATTGTGCCTTAATAGATCCGTCACAATACATGTGGGTACATATCAAAACGTAAAGTATTTGAAATAATATACATATAGAAATACATAACAGTATATTACTTTTAAAATATATAAAAACTTGAATAGGGGCCCAGGACCACACTAGTCCCAATGTGGCTCCGCCCCTGGGTTATAAATTTTAGCCCTTCAAAATATTAATTTTTTAAAGATTAGTGTAGAGTTAAATTTTTTCATCTCCAACTATGCAGAGTTATATTTTTTAGCCTTTCATATTTTATTATTTTGAAAAAAAACTATGGTATAACACTCATACATTTTACAACTATGTATTGTTTAATTTAATTCAACTACTATTTAGAGACAATATTCTATATATGACACATGTACGTTATATATATATATATATATATATATAAACAAAACGAATTTAAAACATCTAAAAAGATTTTAAATATATATAAAAAAGTAACTTTTCAATCAATGGTTCTGACCTCCAACGGTCACAAACCAATTATATATATATTTTTCAAAAACAAAACGAATTTGAAAATATTTAAAATATTATTTTTTTTAAAACCTAACAGCTAGCTCACGTCATCAATGACGTCAGCATGCCTTTAATATTGTATGTTGGATATGTAGTTGCACGAGATGATTCGTACTCTTGCTCACGCATGATACTTTCTCTTTTTGAAAAGCACATGCATTGGGCCCACACAAAAAATTTGGCCTATGCCAAAACTGGGCTATAAAGTCATCTCCAGCCATAGGCTATATCCCAAATATAGCCTTAAAATAATGCAAAACTCATGTCCAGCCATGGGCTAAATAAAATTTTGGCCACATTTGGCCTTTTAGCCCTCCAACTATGCCAAATATAGCCCAGCTTTGGCCTATGCCAAATTCATAGTGAGCCTCACCATGTGCTTTTCAACTACCAAACATTAAAGCACTCCCCACTTCCCTTTCTCAAAATAATAAAATATGAAATACCCTAAAATATAGTCCTGTATGGTTGAAGATGGAAAAATTTAGCGCGGCACTATTCTTTAAAAAATTAATATTTTGGGGGGCTAAATTTTTAGTCATGGACTACATTTAGCCTTATGGCTGGAGATGGCCTAAGTAGCATGGTTGGAGAGCTAAAGAGCCAAATATGGCCCTCCAAATTTAGCCAAAAAAAATTTAGCACATGGCTGGAGATGGCCTGATAGAGATGTTGACTATCAAATTGCCATTTTCCATTCGAGTAGCTGGGGTTGCTAAGACTGCTTTGCCCTTATTCTTGTCTTGTAGGTTTCTTTTTCTTTTCTTTTTTAAATGAACTTGAGGGGAAAACCCCACCCAAAAAAAAAAAAAAAAAAAAAAAAAAAAAAAAAAAAAAGGTATAAAAAAAAAAAGAGAATTAATAATGAGAGAATTAAAGAAACTTTTTTTTAAGAATAAAAACAGAATTTTCTCATTTATATATACTTTCTGGCTCTCCACTCTTCAGGCTTTAAGAGAACTTTAGATGGACTCAGAAAGAAGTCGATGTTTGTAATCATAAGATGGTAATATTTGAGGCTTTCCTTAACAATTTGACTTCATTAGCAAAAGATGATTGTTAGCTTTTACCTTCCCAACAGAACTCTCAGAACAAACACAGGTCCAGACTCCAGAGGTAATTACCAACTACCACTGAAAATTAGCTGATTTCTTACACTGAAAAACAAAGGTCAAAAATGAAATTAGCTACTGTTTCTACGAATGCCCTCATATGCACAAGCAACTTGAAACATATTGATCCGATTTACAAATGCGATAGACGATGCCAAATGCTCTACATTCCTACCAGACCAACTTTCCTCCTCTGAAATAACTGAAGGCATTGACTTCCCAGCAAAATATAAGTAAGAAAATCAATGTGGGATTTGGGGCAGTCAATTGAGCAGCAGGAACCCAGAATGTTGGAAAAGTGTCATCATACATGCCTTGTGCATCAATGACCAGCTGGGGGGCTCCCTGGAGCTGTAGGTTGTGTAACTCTTAGCGTCCCACCAAGTTCGACAGGAACAAGCGGGACAAGGGAATGCAAAACATCGGTTATCAGTGGGCGGTAACTTGGTTCTGGTTGCACACATAACACAGCTACTGCAGCAACCTGTGCGTAATGCATTGCAACTCATCAATTATACTACAGCATGAAATTTTGTGTCCATTCAGTACAAACAGAAGAATCGATACACATAGTCAAGCACGAGTCTGTCATAGAACTAATTGCAACTGAACATACTGGGTTTGTAATTCACAAACCTGGTATAAGTGCTTCAGATCCATTGTATCTTTGATCACAGGATCCACAATGTTTGGAAGCTTTGATCTGTCAGTGAGCTGAGGCATGGCCTGTATCACAGCATTGAGTTTTGAAATATTTAAGTTTTGGACAGGAATTATGCAAATAAAGTAAAATTGAGAGCAGTTAGGAGAAAGGCATACCCATGTGACTATAGATTGGCACTGAGTTGGTGCCAGTTTTTCTACAGGCCTTCTTCCTAGTATTAGCTCCAGAAGCACAATCCCAAAAGCATAGACATCACTCTTGTCTGTCAATTTACCTGATAAATCATAAGAGTGACTTGCTTACCACCAAAACTTGTTTCAAATGCTATAATAACAAAAGTGAAAGCCGAGAAGTCTGGTGCAAGGAAGCTCACACAGCTCTTTAGAAAATTGTGCTATTTAGTATTCTCGCTGACTAAGTGCATTTTGGTGGCCATTATTATTTAAAATGTGTGATACTAACATGCATATGCCATCCATGTCTATAAACAAAAATTTACATATTATTCAGCTAAAACCTTGTCTTCAAGGTAATCCAAATTTTTCAGAAAATCAACGGGTCATCCAAAAGTTGATAACTATCAAGCCGTCCACCTCTCCCTTCTCTCAAGTTCAAATTTCCACATAAATGACTTATAACATCCCTAATTTCAGTTAAGCTCGAGTATAACAAGTAGTTCTGGGATTTCCTCTTCCAAATCTAAAATGGTATATGAACCCGGTGGCGGAACATGTGCAGCTACGGCCCCTAGATAGCTTAACTAAAAGACACGTACTTTATTATGTCGATCAAATGCAGTACCGTAGTAGTTGTCAAGGGTCCAAAGAACAATTAGATTAGATTTAGCTTAGGGAAAAGAAACTACAGTTTAGTAGACACAGCAACCAGTGAGAATTAAAGAATACACCTTGCAATTATTACAAGTTTAGTTGGCATACCATCTAAAAGATACTCTGGAGCAACATAACCCAAGGTGCCAGAGAGCTTGATGTTATTACTGTTTTTGGCCCCATCAGCCACAGCAAGACCAAAATCAGAAAGCTGAAACAAGCCACCATGAGAGAGAAAAAAAAAAAGCTTCAGTGAATTTAGCGCTAGAGGATGATAATGCATTATTGAAATATTTTAATACAAGCTCAATAATTTTATAAGGAAAGATGAGACACTACAATCATTTATATAATCATACCTTGGCATTGAAGTTGGCATCTAAAAGAATATTAGATGTTTTCAGATCTCTATGGATCACTGGAGGGTTGCAGTACTCATGCAGATGTTCTAATCCTCTGGTCAACAGTACCCAATATGTTAAAATGTTAAAAACCCATAACAACCAAAGGACTCCACAACTGGGAAAACAAGCTCACCTTGCTGCATCAAGAGCAATTTTCATTCGCATATGCCATGTTAGTGCTGAACCATGAGACGGTCCTACAACAATAGGACAAAAATATATATTTCATGATATTCCTTTTTTAATTTTTTTAAAAAATAACAGAAAATAAATGTATTACCATGCAATTGAGTTTCCAGAGATCCATTATGCATCAACTCATAAACAATGAACCTTGTGTCACCATCAGTACTACAACCCAAAAAGGAAATTATATTTGGATGCTGAATTTTATGCAACAACTCCACCTCATTCTGCAATTTAGACACAATAAATACATCAGATAAGATTTACAATAAATACAGCATTATACAAAACTCCAACTAAAATTTTGAGCAAAAGTTACCTCAAATTCTCTCTCAGCATCCTGACTTGCACAGTCTAGTTTCTTGACTGCAACAAGCAAATTATCATCCAACCGAGCCTTATAAACACATCCAAATCCACCCTCACCAATAATGTTGCTGTCCCGGAAATTGTTGGTGCCTTTTTCGAGTACTTTATATTCAATTACTGAAACAGATCCTTTCTTAGAAACCATCCTTATGGAATTGAATTTACCCATAAATGGACCCAATGCAAGCCCCTTCTCAGCATCTTCTTACACAAACCAAAGAAACAGAACCAAACGGAAGAAAAAATCTCAGAGAACAACAATTTACAAGCATCCTAAAACCCACAAATTGAAGCAAGATTTAGGGGGCAAAAAGTGCTTGGTACAAATGAAAGTACCTGAGCTCTGAGCACTTTTCTTGTGGGACTCGTGTGGACACTTCTTGTGATAAACCCACAAGCACAACAGTGACAACAAAACTACACCAAGTGCAGTGCAGGTGACAATGAGAGCAATTAGCATTTTCCTATGTGGCTCCATTTGATGCCCTTCACTTCCTTCTTGAATTTCTGATTACACATTAAATATATAGAGGCGTGTTTCAGCAAAAATTGAGCAAATGGGCAATATCTCATACATTAAAACCAAGAGATTTTTGCACCAACATCACAGAAGTTGATAAAATCAGAGAAATTGAATTCAATATATTGTAGTAAATGCACGCAATTTGGTGGTCATTTTTGAAATTCGAATTTTCGAAGTGGTGCACCCGTGACCCAATTAAAACCCCACTTGCTAGAAATGAAAAGGAAGAGTCATTAGTCTATGGAGAGCAGAGCAAAGCATAAGTATTAAGTACCTGGTGAGAAGGAAGCCATTGATGAAGCAATTGGAGAAATGGGTGAGGAAAGCGGAGCTGATAGGGAGGAAACAAGTGGGTCAGGTGTGGCACCAACACAAATGGGACATGGCTGATTTTGGTGTACAAACAGCAAAAGCAAATTGAGAGCAATAACAAGAAGAAGCTTCATTGTTGTTTGCTTTTGCTTTACTAAGTTTAAGAACACATGAAAATATAGATTGTGGGTTCCAACCAATGGAGGAGAGAGAGAGAGAGAGAGAGAGAGAGAGAGAGAGGTTTGGGAAGCCTAGGAATGGTGGGGAGGTGTGTTTTGGATCTTTCAGGCCTTCTCCTTGAATAATTTGAATTCTGACTCTTTCTCTCTCTCTCTGCCTCTCCAGCAAGTAGCCATTTCTTTTTAACTTCTTTTAAACTATCTTTCCATCTGCAAAAGGTAAAAGGGGAAACAAAGATGCAATTGCAGAGAAAAGCTGTATTTTATGTTCTGGGTGGGGACAGTGCACACCAATCATGTGGAGAGTCAAAAACCATTAAACATCAGTCATAATATCTTTTCCAAATCATAAATTAAATTAAATTAAATTATACAACTAATTGATGTGAGTGAGACCCATAATTTTTATTTTCTTGTCACTATAATCACTATCTTCAATGTCTTTTTTTTTCTTTTTCTTTTTTGTATACTTTTCAAATTGTATAAATAATAGAAAAATACATTCCTTCTTAAAAATATCCATATATTTATAGAATAGCAGATGTGTGCAAAACAAGTATAATGACAAAAATTGATATAATTAACAACAATGAAGATTCACATGAAATATATTATGGTGGAGTCATTTTCATAGCAAAACTGGCTGTATCTCTACAATCCACACCAGATAGATATTTTTGGTAAATATAGTGAAAGATACTTTATTCATTAAACAAACCCATCAGATAGATATTTTTGGTGTGAAAATATTCCCATCCCCAAACTATCATATATGTTTGCAACACAAGTATGAAAACAAATAAATGCTTCCTTTCTTTTCTTTTCTTTTCTTTTCTTTTTTGTTGTCAAAATTAGGAATAAGAGGGGTGCGATGGAGATTCAAACTTACTGATGTGCAAGTCAAGACCTTTTTCTCTAAGGGGACTCTGTTGACAATGTTTATTTTTCCTTTATCAAGGCTATGAGATTACCCATCTAGTTCTTCTTTTTTCCTAACGCCCTTCTAGTTCTAGTTGCCAAATTGGAAAGATCAATGATCCAATATTTCATATAAACAAGGACTTGTTTGTCACGTGTTTGGTGAAAAACAGGTAACATATATCTAGTATTCGTATGCACCCATGTTAGTCCCCTGCTTATTCTATGGGGACTTTATTTCTTTTATATTTTTCTTATTTATAAAAAATAAAAATAATAATTGGTAAGGATTATAGGGAAGGAGACCCACATGCGATGAACAAAATAGTCAAAGATCTAAGGGTGGGTAGAGTGTCACAGTCAGACCATTAGGTCTGATCGTCTTTCTTTCTGCATGCAATAGCTGACAATTTGTAACATTACAAATTGCTTGCTTCGACTTCCAATGTTCATCATCATGATCAAGCAGGGCCAGCTTTGGTGCAATTTGTCGCTCTTGGTTATTTTTTTTGTTTTTTTGGGGCTTTTTAGCTTGTCTGCTGCATGCATGTTGTTTCTGTAAAATTATTTAAAGGAAGACGAATGATACAAGACCAAGACCATAAACATACATCCCACTCATTATTTCGCTTTACCAATTTGAGATTGAGAGTTCTTTCGTTTTTAATTAAAAAGATAATTGATGATGATTAATTAAGGAACTTTTTTGGATACCATTTTAGCATGAATTGGAATGATAACCACCATTATTATATAAGAGGATTTTTTTTCTCCTTTTTTTTTCTTTCTATATTTTATTGGTATGGGGTAAGGCAATTGATTGCATGAGTTACTTGTGAAACCAAACAAAAGGAAATGTACTTCAAATATATTTTGTGAAGAAGAAAAAAAGTAGATGACAAGCAAACTAGGAGGTTTCATATAATCTTACATATTACGTCGTTAGATTGTTAATGTAGATTATACATTATATTAAGAAAAGTAATCATGCCATCAATTATTCAAATTCAACATAATCATCTGTCCATGTATTAAGAAAAAAAGACATCCTCCATGAAATAGTAGCGAATATGCATGTCTATATTATAGATATCAAGTAATAAAATTATTTTTTTCCAATTTTCTGTACAATAAAGTTAACTAGCCTCTCGATTCACGCTCGCCCACTTGTTTATATATTTTTGTTTTTATTTTATCTTTACTAGCCTCTCCGCACGCGCTTTCGCGCCTGCGAGAGGCTTTTTTTTTTTAATTTAAATTTATTTTAGAATAAAAAAAGATAATGGATAGTTGTGTTCCATAAAAATATGATCCATTATCTGATTTTTCTTTTAATTTTAATTTTTTTAATATAAAAAAATGTGAATTTACCATATTATCCTCATTTAATTAATAATTTCAATTCTTAATGTTTACATTAACCATGGGCATTTTTTGGTATTTTGAATGTTTCACCATTCTCAACATTTTGCTTTATATATATAGATTCACGGCAAGTTCATGTTAGCTATGTAAAATTGTATTTTTCAGAATCTTCTTAATAATGAAAACTATAAATTATTTAAAAATGAACCATAATTAGATTTTATTATATATATTTTTTAGGCGACAGGAGCATATCTTTTAGGGCCAGTCCAATTTTTTCCATGGCCCCAGGATTAAAACCAAACGCAAAAAAGAAGTTTCCAAATAAAGTTTCACGTGCATGCAGGAGTGCAGGCGGGACCTTCTTCTTATTCTTCTTCTTCTATTTTTATTTTGTGTGCGTTTCTTATTCTCTTGTTTGGCCATAACTTTTTTCCTTTTTGATTCGAAAAAAGTGTGAAAAGATGGATGTCTTCTAATTAAAAGCCAACTTTCTTTGGAGATGACTTTAGTAACCAATGGCTTTTTCCTTTATTAATTAAATTTGTAAATTAATTAAATCCAGGACTAACTTGACAAAAGCATCAAGCTCACAACAGAATGATGATGAGGCAGCTCAACTAATTTAAGAAATACCAATTTGTTGTTGAGGAGGAAAAGTTAGTCTTTTTATATTTGTAAACAAGCAACTATCAGTCAACAAAATTCACATATTCAATTTGGTAGCTAGCCGTCGCATATTTGTGATTATGGTACTAATTACAAGCGATAATATACTTGAAACTGTTCTAAATTACCGGGAGAAGAATTCGAACTCATATGTTGAGTGGGTAGCAGATTGGCTCTAACAAACTTGGATTATATTCATTATTCACTTAGAGGAGCAAAGAAAAAAGTGATAAAAGAATCAATGCATTTGCGTGGGTTTCTTTCTTTCTGCAAAATGGGCCATATATGCCTGCAGATAACTTGCCGAATGAGCAACCCTCTAATTGGTTTTTTAATGTGACATTAGCAATGAGAGTGATGGGAGATAAATTATTAATTAAAATGATAGAATCTAATTCATAATCATGTCTTTTGTAATTGTCAACTAATTTATTGAATATTGATGTGAAGGTGATTATTATTTTATTTAAATTAGAAGCTCTACTTTAGCTTAGATTAATTACCACTCTAGCAAGCGGTGTCAATCTTATTTTCAATCTCTTTGTTCCTTTATTCCAACATTTGCTTAACAATAAAGCTTCTAACAAACCTAATCATTTTACAGTCTTTCTCCTTTGTTCTCTTATGTGCGTTGATCTAATAAATTTCTATCGCTTCGTAATTCCCCCAAAAAATAACTTCTTACATACGTGAATTAAGTAAATTGATCACGACATTGTATTTGTCATCTTCGCCAAAGGACGGAGCCACTTAAAGACCAAGATGGTCGTGGACCCCTCCCTTATCCCCTCCCAAGTTCCCCAGATTTCCCTCCCTATGTCCCCTTATTTTCCCAATGTGGGTCCCTTTTTTGGGTACTATGCATCCATCATTGCTTTGCATGCGAGTTTGATTATAAGTTTTGAGATTATTGTTTGTATTTAAAATTTAAAATTTATTATTAAAAAGACTTTCTTAATCTGTCCGTCTCTCCAAGCACGTGCGCACAAGTGTTGGGAAAAGTCTGTATGTCTCATTGTCTCACTTGGTGATGTTGCAAATTGTATAAATATATGAAATTATAAATATGTACAATCTTCAGTATTGATCAGTGTGGCAGCAGCCAGTACACACGCACTCAGAAAAATTAGGGAATAAAATTCTGTAGTGATCATTGATTTCGTTACCACCGACATTTTCATTTTCGACCCATGTAACAATAATTCATATAAATAATTGTCCAATCCAAACTGCTAATGCGTGACATGAATATCCAGTACAATTATTGCCATCCTTTATATTAATATATTCCACTTAAATACACATATAATGAAATTTTGCTCCACCAAGTATCACTCTGGGCCCTTTTGCCAACGCAACCTTCTCTCATTGATTGACCAATTGAAAAAAAACCCAACCTTCACTCAACTTACAGGCCATACGTGGTCCTTTGCTCCACATACATTATCAGTCATGTTCATCTGCTCGTCATGTCGCCACCTACTCCATGTAGTACGAGGGCTGGCGCATGCCCAATGTCGGTGGTCCGAATAAGTAAAATGAGGTTATATTTATTTCATTTGGAGAAAGGAACAAATGCGGGCCAAGTTGTAACACAATTATAGCTTACTAGAGTTATCCAATTCAATCCAAACTAATTGTAGGCACCAAACCTGGAATATAAATCTGACAAGTTTGACAAAATGACTCTTAGAAAATTTGGGTTGCAGACAAATTGGCCCCAACTTTGACCAAATCATTTATCAGAATCATACTCCATAACAAATTGGCCCATTTCGTTATTAAAAAAATAAAAAAAAGCAAAGGCTTGCACATGTTAGGATGTCATATTGATGATCATGAGGTCCACATCCGGCCGATAATAACTGGCTTCCCACAGCCCATTAGCATTCGATGCAGGGTTGTATGAGTGGGCCAAACTGCCCGGATTTGTTCAAACCGGCTTAACCAAATCAAATCAATTCAAGCTCTTCGATTCGGCTTTTGCACTAAATGTACGGCCTGCAGATGCCATCCTAAGTTCCAGCTTGGCAACAGGTTATAGAGAAATGGCGGTCCAGTTGGAGTTGAACCATCCTTTGCAAGTCGGTTGGGCCTGCTGGCATCTGTCCTCATTCCACGTCTACGCCATCCAATTAAATATACGCGTGACACGTGGACCTATTGATTTTTTTTTGGGTCGGAAGTGGACTGATGTGTGCGTTTGTTGTCTCTCTATTTTTTATGGTCTGATGCGTTTGTTGTCCGGAGCACACGGGATTCTTTCTTATTCCCTTCCTTTGTCTTTTGGCTTCTAAATGATTGCCTCTCGTTTTGGGTTTAATTACCAAGTTGGACCAAGTCTCCTGAGTCTGGGTCGCTGCCTTGTCAAAAGACTCGTTAACCTTCGTTGTTTCGAAGTTGACTGCTGACCAGGGCAGTTTGAAACTGAATATGTGTCTTTGAATAAAAATAAAGAGGTCAGAGGTCAAACAAAGTTGATTGCATATTTTTATGGTAAGATAATGTTAGGCTTATTACATGTTTTTATACAACATTATGTACCACATTTCTAATAAAGATAGAGCTCATCAATATAACGGAGTCCATCTCTATTAGAGAGATGGTACATAATTGGCCAAATTTTCAGTTGCAATAAATGGAGCTTAATTTTGGGCCAAATCCACACCACTAAGTAAAAGTACTTGAATATGAAAATACATGGAAGATTCAAAAAGCATTTATCTTTTTTATATTTTTCCCAAAAAAAAAAGGAGGATATGAAATTTATTCATCTCACAAAATGTTTACATCCTTTTGAAAGAAGCAGTATAGTGGAGGCAACCGATCCACTCACAAGTACCAGAAATTTTGACCCAAACTTAGCCACTTTAATTTAATTTAATCTTTTATCGGAAAAATAAAATACTACAAACAAAAACCCAGAGGACACGCAGGCCCCAATAGGTCAAAAAAGAAGGGGTCGAACAGTTCAGAGGCAAGCCAGCCTCCCAAAGCTTGGAAGGGGTAATCCCATGCCCTAAGCTTGTCACAGCATCAGCCGTAAAATTTGCCTCACGAAAAACATGATTAAAGGAGCAGGATTCGAAGAAGGAGCTGAGAAGCGCAATATCTTTAATCAAGAGGTTGATACTCCAAAGAGCCACAACTTTCTTGTTAACACAATTAATGATGAGTTTAGAGTCACCTTCAGCCAAAATTTTACGCCATCCTCTATGAGCCACATAGGCAAGGCCATCCCGTAAAGTGATACACTCCATAACAGAGATAGTATTCTCACCAATATTTTTAGCCCCAGCAAGCAAAACATGACCATCAGAATCACATAACACAAAACCAGAAGCTGCAGACCCATTTCGGACGGAACCATCAAAATTCATTTTGACCCATCCACTTTTTGGGGGGGGGGGGGGGGGGGGGGGGGGGGGGTGGGTTTCGCGGTTTACATTAATGCATAAGGTAAGAGGGCCTCTCCACTTTCTTACAATTTTGCTGCCAGTAGTCTAAACCAACCTTCCCAGCCATAGTAAGGACACGCACAATATGAGGCTTTATGTCTTTAAAAATCAGATGATTCATTGCTTCCCAAATCTGCCAACATAACAGAAGAGCTTTGGAGAGGCTATATAGGCTTGAGGAGTTAGGTGTAGTCGGTAGAGAGCCCAACCAGGTGAGGAAATCAAAATTTGGAAAAGTGATCCCAGGAGCCATGTTGGTGCAGCTCCAAATACTTTGAGCAGAGTGACAGGTGGAAAAAAGATGAGGAATGGTCTCCCTATGACTATTACAAAACGGACACTTAGGATTGATCTGAGGAAGGAATCGGTTCAAATGGCCCCTGACTTGAAGTCTTTTTCTTTTGAGTAACCAAGAGAAAATTTTAACTTTTGGGGGGACCTTAATGCCCCACATTTTCTTTAGAAGAGCTGCTTGACAATGATAAGAAGTGTCATGCATCTGCACATGATAAGCACTTTTAATAGAGAAAATACCACTAGGGTTAGGACCCCAAATTAATTGATCCTCCAAAGGGGATAGAGGAAGAGGAATAACACTAATTTTATCTATAATATCCTGGTCAACAACATCTTGGAGCTTACTTATATCCCATTGTTGGTCAGTTAGGAACTCAGAAACAACCAAATTAAGATTAAGAGAACTTCTTTGTGTCATAAGAATCAGATCAATAAGGGGGAAAGGAAAAACCCAATGGGCAGTCCAAAAGGGAATGGACTTACCATTTCCCACTATCCACCTGATACCCATATTCAGCACATTTCTAGCATCTAAGATTACTTGCCAAGCTGAAGAATGGGATGGCTTCTTTTTCAGGGCTAAAAAACTTTCTTTTTGTAAATATTTTCTTCTAACAATTTGAGTTATTAGTCAGACAAATCCAACCCAGCTTGGCTAAAGCAGCTTTATTAAAATAGGTAGCCATTCGCACACCAAGACCTCCCATTTCTTTAGGGGTGCAAACCTCCTTCCAAGAAACAGGAGGGATTTTGGTATGGTTGCCCCAGAAAAAATTCATACAAGTAAAATTCATCACTTTGCTGACTTTTGAAGGACATTTAAAACAGGATAAGAAATTATTTAACTAATAATTTCAATTCTTAATATTTGCATTAGTCAAGAACATTTTTTGGTATTTTAAATGTTTTATCATTCTCTACTTTTGCTTTATATATATAAATTTTTCTAATTATTAATTTAGCCCATCCGATCCATACTGAAAATATCGGGTAAGGATATCAATTACCCATGGAAACCGGTACCTAACCGATCTTTAATATTACTTTCTTATTTAATTATAAATATAGGTGTCAACATGTTAATGGTTGAATAAAAAAGGCATTATGGGCTGCAGTACTTGATAGGATTGCCATTTGTTATGTGAATTGGCGTCTTGTTATTGGAACAAGTGTCACCGTTGGGATCTAGACAGGTGTCATCTGTTTTGACTAAAATTACCCACTTCCTAATTTACAAGGATTGAGGCTTCTTATTTCGACTGGAAAAACGTTTTTATTTTGCAATATTACTAGTACGGGAATTAAAAGAAAAAGAAAAATCATACTTGATAGGGGCATTGTGGTAGTTCCCTCCAAAAATAAGGCGCAAGAACTAAGGCCGTGGATAATCATGCCAGCGGTGGTTTCGAACCCACGTCAGACACGCCCGTCTTCACGAATTAAAGCAGCGTTTTAGGTATCGGGCCTTCAATGATACTTCCCATCACCAAAAAACAAAGAAGAAAAAAGGAGGGAGCTATATGTATGTCTCCTACGCGCTTCAGATCACGCGCATAAACAATATCATGTCAATCGTGTTTGGATTTGATGGAAACAAAGAAGTTAATGGAATTAATATTTAGTTGCTATCGAATATTGCCCCAAAAAAAATTTCTCAACCAAATAAACCTTTGTACTTGAATTGTGGACTATCAAAACGTCATAATCTAAACGGCTTATAATTCACGTGATTATTATTTCAATTGTCATGTGCATCCGAGGTTCTTGAAATTAATTTTTATTTTCACTAATAATATTGGTATATAAAATATAACGAATTTTGATAGTACATTTCATGTGGTTCCAACCAAATAATAAAAGTTGGGTCCTTACTTCTTGAAAAAGAAAACTTTGAATTTAAAAAAAAAAAAGTGTTTTAGTTTTAGGAAACCTACCTAAATTGTTTTCCTCAAAACAAAAAAGAAAAAGGAAACCTAATTGTTGAAGGGAAAAGTAAATCGAAAACAAGGAGGAGAGTGGGTTTTATTATACTCTACCGCCTTTTGTCGCTTTCCCTACTCCAATTGCCTTAAGGTATCTTCCCCTTCCTTTCCCTATAAAACACAGCCCTCCCACCTTCCCAATCTTCACAGTCTCATCTTCGTTTTCCCTTCTCTGTGTAAATTCCCCTTGGCTCTCAAGAGCCCCAAAGTTTGTCACTTTCTCCTTCTCTTTCGTTGCAAGAGCTCGAATTTTTGGATCTCATTTTGTTAGATTTTATATGGGTGTTAAAGTTCTCAGTCCCCAGAATTGCCTCAAAGACTCTCTCTCACCTCAAGTACTGATGAATTCCAATCGAAGCCCTAACCCTAATCGGGTCAGAACTTCCCCACAAGCCGACCGGAGTAAGCGAAGGCCCACCAGGCCCAACAACAACCCACCACCGCCGGTCCAGAAACCCGCTGCCCTCAAGAACGTCGTGATGGGCCAGGTCAAAATACTAAAACGCGGCGAGGAAATCCCCAAAGCGGCCCCGATTCAGCTACCACCGAAGCAGTATCTCCATCCCCAAGTTCCAAATCTCGGAACCACCAGCCGGATGGGTCCTGACCCGAAGATGGTTCCGATTCCTCCGAAGCAGACCAAGCTCCCGGAACCGAACTGGGCTTCAGGGTTCTACGCCGGGTCGTCGTCGTGCATAGCTGCGCCTCCCCCGAGTTCCCTACCTCTGCCGTCGTTCTTCGCAAAGAAGAGCGCCCCTTCAAGCACCGATGAAGCTGCAAGCGTGCTGCTTAAACTTCTGCGGCTCAATTTGTCGTAGATGGGTCGCCGGTCCATGGCGGACCAAGCATGTGCAGCAGTGTAGAGACCGCGTTTGGCTAATGTTCGTGTTGTGCGATTATCATCGCCCTTCCCCTTATTTTTTCGTGGGAAGATAGATGGATAAGGTCACAATTCGACCTAACGCTTTTTCTTCTTTTTAGATTAATTTTTGGGTTAGGGATTTTAATTATGTGCAGCGGTAGTTGGTAACTTGGGTTGGCTCCAATTTTTAGCACTTTGTTTTCAATTAAATTAGGGTTGGATTGCTTTTATTTTTGTGTGGTACTATTTAAGGTTGAGAGGTATAGGCTTTTAGGAGCTGTTTCTGTTAAATAAGGGTATATTTTGTGTACATGTATCCACAAGTTTTTACGATCTAGTTGTAAGCAATTTGTTAGTCTAATTTGGTTTTTAATTCCATTGGTGTTTTGTATACTCTTTTGCGTTCTTAATTTCCTTTATCTTGTTGAGATTAAATTGGGGTTTGGAGATGGCTGTGTTGTGTATGTATGAGGTGTTCGTGGGAATTGACTTCTGGGAAAGTTGAGTTGCTGAGAGATTATGATGAACATGGGTTCTAACTTGTAACATCTTGGTGAAGGTAGTAAATCAAATGTTTACCTCAGAATTTCACTGGACTCTTCTCTGGTTTTGTTCAACTTGTATAGTTATTTATAGAGACTTTGTGGTTTGGGTTGGGTTGGAGCTATCAAAAGCAAAGGACAAAAGCAGTTTTGTTTTCTCGATAGATTTGATGGGAAATCATTTCCAATGTCTTTTTCTTTAACAAGAGATGAGATATGAATGATTTCTTTTTTATGTTTGGTATTATTTAATTTTTTATGTTTGGTTTGTGTATGAATATAAAACAAATCTAATATAAATTATACCCATTTTTAAAATATGAATGGAATAAAATAAAAGAATAGTCAAAGTGGTAAATTGTGAATTGGACAAAATAGTCATAAATATGTACATTTAATGCTCACCTAAGGGTTGGAGAGTATATTTTCCCCTAGTTTCTCACGTGTCAGGCAATCATTTTTCATGCCTTGACTTATTAAACATGAGAAATTATGATTTCCTTATCCCAAGCCCCATTTTTCATGAACCAAACACACCATAAGGTCTCGTTTAGTTCAAAATTTAAGGGATTAGGAATGAGTTTGAAATTGCATTCTTCACATGTTTGGTAAGTGCACTCTTGAAAATGGAATTATGGACTCGAGGGTATTGACTTCCCATGTAAAGGGAATTTCATACCCTTGGCTAGGCTTGGGAATTTGTTTTCCCCCACATGGGAAAGCATTTAATTTGAATTTTTATGGCTAACTTACCCATATTCTATTTTTAAAATACCATATTTTACTCTTAGAAAAACTCTTCGTATTTATTTATCTTTAATTAAAAAAAGAAAAGAAGATAAGTATATTGTTGGAAAGATAAACAATTTTAATTCCTAATATTCTACAAACCAATGGGAATGTGATAAAATGACCTTTCATGATTTTCATTTCCCAACTTTTCCAGACATGAGACTGAGCATCCTCTATTCCCAACTCATGAGATTAAACATGGGAAGTACATTGTCAAGAAGTTCAATCTGCGAACCAAATGGATTATAAGGGTAAACAAAAGCAGATGACTTCCCAAAAACATAATCCATTTCGATGGAAGGGTCTGCAGCTAAGTACTGGTTAAGCGGAGAAGCTCCTAAATTGAAACCCGTGCTTTGCTAGGGACAATTATGGCGGTTGTTATTGGTTCTGTTGCTGGTCTTGGATGCTGAGCTATGTGAAGCATCCAAAGAAGTTTTCAGAACTTGTAATAATTACTTAAGAAAAGGAGTTGTGATAAACACAATAATAAGGAATTTTGGTAACACATTTTATGTGGTTCCAATAATAAGTTTACACACATTTAAAAGTTGGGTCTCTTCCCTTTTTCTTCAAAAAGAAAAGTTTAAATTTTAAAGTCACTTTAAATGTGTTTTAGGAAGCCTAAAAACAACATAATATCTAATTTCGGGCACTTTCTTCCTCAACAAGAAAAGTTTGAATTCTAAATCACTAAGAAAATGATAATTACCAAAATGTGTTTTGGGAAACGTAATCGTTTTCCTAAAAAGAAAAGGAAAGGAAACCTAATTGCGATTCGTGAAGGGAAACAATAATGATGGCTGAAAAACAGTGTTAGGAAGGAATAGGAAACCCCCAAGGGCGGTTGATGAAAGTGGATTCTATTATACACTACCGCCTTTTGTCGCTTTTCCTACTCCTATTGCCGTCAGGTCTCTTCCCCTATAAAACTCAACCCTCCTTCCTTCCCAATCTTCACACATTCACATTTCTCTCTGTAAATTCCCAAGGTTTTGAATTTCCTCCTTCTCTTTCGTAGCAAGAGCTCGAATTTTTGGATCTGATTTTGTGAGATTTTAGATGGGTGTTCAAGTTCTCAGTCCCCAGAATTGCCTCAAAGATTCTCTCTCACCTCAGCAAGCGCTGATGAATTCCAATCGAAACCCTAACCCTAATCGGGTCAGAACCTCTCCCCAAACCGACCGGAAGAAGCGAAGGCCGACCCGGCCCAACAACAACCCACCCGCTCCGGTCCAGAAACCCGCCGCCCCCAAGAATATCGTCATGGGCCAGGTCAAAATCCTAAAACGCGGCAAGGAAATCCCCAAAGCGACGCCGGTTCGGTCACCACCGAAGCAGAATCCCAAACCCCAGGTTCCGGATCTCGGATCCACCAGCCGGATGGGTCCTGACCCGAAGAAGGTTCCGGTTCTTCCGAAGCCGGCCAAACTACCGGAACCCAACTGGGCTTCCGGGTTCTACGCCGGGTCGTCGTCGTGTATAGCTGCGCCTCCCCCGGAGTCCCTACCTCTGCCGTCGTTCTTCGCAAAGAAGAGCGCCCCTTCGAGAACCGATGAAGCTGCAAGCGTGCTGCTGAAGCTTCTGCGGCTCAATTTGTCGTAGATGGGTCGCCGGTCCATGGCGGACCAAGCATGTGCAGCAGTATAGAGACCCCGTCTGCCTAATGTTCGTCGAATTGTCTAATTCTCGCCCTTCCCCTTATCTTTTCGTGGGAAGATAGATGGATGAGGTCACAATTCGACCTAACGCTTGTTCTTCTTTTTAGATTAATTTATGGGTTAGGGATTTTAATTATGTGCAGCAGTACAAGGCTTAATTTTTCTTGTTTCTTTAAATTTGGTTTTTGTTTTTAATTAAATTAGGGTTTGGTTGCATTTCCTTTGTGTCTTACAGTACAAGCATAAGATTAGATTAGGGTTGGAAGGTATAGTTTTTCAGGAGCTGTATCTGTAAAATTAGGGTATATTCTGTGTCCTAAGTTTTTGCTTATAGTTGCAAATATGTTATTAGTGAAATTTGGTTTTTAATTATATTGGTGTTTGATGGAATTACAAATTGAAACAAACAGAAATGGGGTTTGATTTGTGGGAAAGTTCAATTGCTGTGAGATTATGATGAACAACATGGGTTGTAAAGCTAGTAAAAATCAAATGGGTTACAACAGTGCTTTTGGTTGGAGCTGTCAAAAGCAAAAGCTAAAAAGTCTTGTTTTTTTTTTTTTTTTTTTTTTTTTTTTTTTTTTTCCGTTTTTCTTAAAGGAAAAAGAAGATGGCTTCCCAATAAACAGAATCACTTTTTATGTCGGTGGAAGGCTCTGCAGCTCAGTTAGGGACAGTTATGGTGACTTTACTGGTTTTGCTTTTGGTCTTGGTAAGGCCCAAATGTTGGATGCTGAGCTATGAGCTTTCTGGACGAAAGCTTCAAAAGACGGTTGCAGAACTTGTTTTCAGTTTCAGCAATTATGAAGCTTACAGGAGGTGTGAAAAATGTTTCGTCTATCCAAAATCACGTCCAAACGAACTCTACTTGAACGAGTAAAGGTCAAAAAATTTATACCAAAAAAAAATTAATATGGAGGTGTGATATTTTTTCTTTTAATTCATATTTAGTTTTATAGCTTTGTCATATTTAGGTTATGGGTTAGGTGCACCAGCAATTAGTGTGCGAATGAAACTTGGTGATGCGGTTTGCAGTTTGGACATGAGAATACTAGTTTGCAAGTTAATGCCTTTTTTTATTGGACTAAACTACACTCCGTTGTACCATGCAATGTTTATGGGCTGGCAGGAGTTGCTATTCGTCTATTTGGGTCTGCAAAATCTTTCTTAGACAGCCTAAAATTTGATCAGTACATTTCTAATACTTGTCTAAAGTGTATTGATCAAATTAATAATTAAATAAAATTAAAAGAAAAAATAGACTTTCAAAGCAAAAGTTGTTACTCTGACAGATTAATATCACATAAAGTATATGTTTGGGCAATAAAAGTTCGTATGAACATGAACGAGTGCAAATAAAAAGGGCCCTGTATTTTGATAGGCCAAACTCTTTTATGAGGCCACGACCCACATTAAGGCCTTGATTCACGGAATCTCCCATTAACTCACATTTGTTGCCTCAAATTTATTTTGGATCCAGCAGCAATATAAAATTAGGTCCTGCATTTTTTGGGTTCACCAACTGCATTTTCGAACCATGAATATCCTTTTTGGACGGAAACCATGAATATCCTTCACCAACTAGATTTATGATATCCATTCCTTAGAGGGCTGAAGCTGGTTCCCAGAAAGGGCAAATGTTTTCAATTTTTCATTACAACTTCGAGGGTTTCCATAAATATGCAGCTGATGAAGAATGGTCCTGCAGGATTTTCATCGAGCCCCATGATCCATTGTCACGGATAAAATAAAATACTAACTATGTCGTCCATCGTTTTAGTAAAAGCTTATTTCATGTGTTGTGCTTGCATTTAGAATGTTTCGTACTTGTACTAAGAGGCGGAGTTAGAATTGTAGGGTTGGGGGAGGGGGAGGGTGAAATAGATAATACAAGTATATCAAATGTATAAGTTTTCAGAAGTTACATGTTAGAGCTATATATTTCTAACTTAGTATGTACAATTTGTTTTAGATGGGCCATTAGCTTAAATTACAAGTTGTCTATTACTCGTGTAATATATTAGAGGAGAGATGTGAAAAATTGAGGGGCCAGTGCCACTCTTAGCTTAAATTACGCTGGTGATCATCCGACTCGTTTTACACTCGTAGAGGAAATTTATGACCTAGAAAAGAAAACAGTATGAAAGTAGTGTGATTGGCAAATAGATATTTCCAGCCGAATACAGAAGATAAAAGCAACTGAGATAAACCATCCCCAGTTCACGAGCCTAACAGTAAAGTTCAGAAACCCAAAAAGGCAACCTTATCAATAAAGCTTGCTAGCTTTTGATCATGCAGATAAACATTTATGATTTTTCTAAGATGAAACAGAGCAGACCAAATTAAATTGCTGATGTTTTATTTGTTCATATTTAATTACAGTAAGTGATAGATATACTACAAAAATGACAAATTGTATTATTGATAGCTAAAATTTGAAATTAAAAAAAAAGAAAAAAAAAGAAAAAGAAAAAAAGAAGTAAAGGTGATAAGATCAACTTCCATGTCACTAGTAAGTTTTTCTGTTTCAAAGGATCTTTAGAGTTACTAGAAGTGGTAAGATACTTATGTAAAGGCAATAACTTTGCCTTTGGATTAATTGTTATATTAAGTGATTAGTATAACCTTTCATGCTTAAACATTGTCCACCTAACTTTCTAATAATGGTTTTCAACTATACTAAATAGTTTTATAATTCCTTTCGTTATGGATTTCGAACCTCAATTATACTAAATAGTTTGGCATGCTATATTAACAAACTAATAATTTAAAATATACACGTCATGCCATATTAACAATATACTAGTATAAAATGGCAGAAAACATTACCTTATAGAATATAATAGGGGAGTGCTATTTGCGCTTCCCTTTTGTGTTCGTTCGTTCATTCAAACAAGAGTGACAACAAGAATTTGAAAAACGCAAACAACGCAATTTGATATGTAATAATTGAAATTCAAATAAAATTAAAATTCTGATTTTTTTTCTTTCTTCCTTCAACTTATCTAAAAGTGTCTTGACATATTGTGTATTAATGATTTAAAAATGAGTTCCTTGTGTTTTAAACTTGAGTTAGTTTTAAGTTTATGTGTGAATTGTGGAATTGTAGAGGTTTGGATTGGATGTTTTATTCGATTTAGCAAACATGTCGAAAAGAAAGTTGAAAGATAGAGTTGGAGACGGAAATTTGAAGCAAACATTGTTTATATATTTGTTAGGCTAAGCATTTTGGATTTGGTAAAGTAAATTAAAGTTATATATATATATATATATATATATATAGGCCGTAAAGTTTGAAGCGGTCATGCTCATGCCCTTTGCCCCTTTGGCACACAAAAGGAGCGCATCACACAAAGCAAAGCAGTGGAGCAAGCGGATGGACAGCAAAACGCTGTCGCTTCGTTGCTCGTGATCACAAATCCCCCAATTAAGAAGGGAATAACCCAATAATAACCCATTACAAATTGAATCTTGTCAGCGACCCACGTCACCATGTGGGTCCAGCACTTAAAAAATGAAAAATTTAGAAAAAAAGAAATTAAGAAAATTAAAAAGAAAGAGCAGAAAAAGAGTCAGAGTCACACAGACGAGACCCACCCTAACAACAACATCAAGCGAAGAGAAGAGAAGAGAAAAAAAAAAAAAAAAAAAAAATTTTTCCCACTTTCTTCACCACACACACATATATATTTAACGCCACCACCCCTCTTGACCCACCCATATATATTTTTTCAAAACCCATCTCCTTTTCTTCTCTCATTCATTCATCCGCCACCCTACTTTCTCTCTCTAAAGCCTTTTCTCTGTCTGTCTCTCTCTCTTTCTAGAACCATTTGCTGAGATGATGGTGGTCAAAGACGAGTGGATGAGAGCGGCGATGACCGACGACATGCTCGTCGTGGAGCTTCTGGTGCGGCTCAAGCAGTCGCAGACGGCCGCCTCTTCTTCCTCGTCTCCGTTGTTGGAGTCGATTCCGCTCAGGTGGGGCATCCGGCTGCCACGCTCCAAGTCGGCGTCCAGATTCGACGGCGTCGTTTCGCGGCAGAGGAACATCAGCAAGCACGGAGCCGATTCCGCCACTAGATGCAGCCCCACCACGCCGCTCTCCTGGAGCGGCGGCACCGGCTCCCCCTCCGCCACCGCCGACGGCTTCGAAGAGTCCAGCTGTCCCAGATCCAAGGTCTCCATCTCTCTCTCTTTCTCTGCTTTTCGCTTTTTTGTGCTTTGGATTTCCCGCTAGCTGATCTCTGCTTGCTGTGTGTGAAGTGAAGACTCTTCGAGTCTCTTTTTTAATTGACGGAAATACCCACGGCGGTTGTTCGTATTTGCGTCTGGTTCTGCTAATAAGCAGAGACCAGAGCCGCACGAGCCTCAGTGTTCATGAGGCGGCTGAGGCTTTTAGCGTGTTGGTCGACGACACACGCATTTCATGGCTTCTTTTTCACTTTACCATCTTCGGCCTTCTTCCTCTACCTAATTTACCTTGTCATCAGTTTTTCCGTTTTCTAATCTGGATTTCGAAACCGACGTTTCTGATTTCCTATCGCGTTTCGTTTGTCGTCTCTTGAGCTGCTAATGCTGACGAGGTCAAATTCGTCATTTCGTTATCTTCTTTAGATTTTTCCTTCTTTGGTTAGCTCGATAATCGCCGGCGGTCAACCCTCGGTAGCCTCCGCGTACGATGTCGTTCGCACAATTTCATGACCAAAATGCCCCTGACCCGCGTGTGCCTTTCGATATCCCTCACGTGATGTAGCAGATCGAGACCTCCTTCACGTTTTCGTCTCGCTCTTTTTGCCGGTAACCTGCCTTTCTTGATTCGCCTGCGAGATTTACCAAACTACCCTTCCAAACTCCTCCCTAGATTCTGATCACCAAAGGACACTCCCGTCAATTCTGAGATTTACCGCAGAAAGTGAAAACCGCGAAACTTCCCTGAGACGACGAGCTTACTCGTCTGAACCCTTTTTGCTCGCGACAAAAGTCGCATCTCGCGTCGAGTCAAAAGTACGAATATAGATGGGCATAGCAAACAGCAGGAGGGCATTTCGGTCATAGTAATAAAAAGGGGGTAGGGTGTGGTGGTGACGTGGGCCTATCTTAAAAGCGTGGTGGGGCCATTTGGGAGAAGTGAGTTTTGCCTAGGGATAGGTCTGCGTTCGGTTTGGTGTGGCGTTGTTAGTGGGGGTTGCTGGGGTAATTTTCCTATGTGACGCGGGCGCAGTCAGCGGCTTTTATGGACCATCATCTCCTTTGATAACGCTTTTCTTATTCTTATGCTTTCTGGAGATCCAGAGAAACTCGATGTGATGGTTGTGGCCGCTGATTGGGGGATTGAGTTTTTTGGGTATGCGAATCTGACGGTCAAGGATGGTTTGGTGAGAGTGGTGGCTGTGGTCCTTGTCGCTTATTTAGTTTAAAGAATTACGATATTTTTTTATTTTTTTTATTTTTGGACGACGGGATTTGGGTTCGGTGTGGAAGGAAGCGAGAGGCAATGTTTGTATGGACGATGGAGGAGAGGAGGCCATGGAAGGAGAAGCAGAGGCGTGTGAGCAAGTCACGTGAGGAATAAAATAAGGAGCTTGTCATGCGTGGCCACGTGGATATTCATGATGTGAATTTCTAAATGGGTTTAAGCTTACTCATGATTGGGATAGGGAAGCTTTATCCAAAGTCCAGAGAGACGGTAAATTTAATTGGCAAAGGAATAATTATTGCGGGCTTCTACTGGATTGGTGAAAGTTTTGAGATTTAAAGAAAAGAAAATAAATTGGTTTTTGGATTTTTTGGTGTCCTTTTATGATATGTCCGCTTTTTGCTTTTTTGTGGGTGTATTTGCTGAAGTGTGTTTTGCATTGATGTGTCTCTCAGGGAACTGCTACGTATGAATCCACCAGCACCACCACTGCCACCAAGAGGGCAAGGAGAAAGAAGGTAGACCCAAATCTTCTTTTTGGCTCCCACTTGGTTTCATGTTCAAGATAACAAACAACAGTTATTTAAAAGAATGCAATGAGAATTGATAATTAATTAGTTTGATTTTTTATTATAAATTTATTTGTTTAGTTACTGTCATTTTCTAATCTGCAATAGGAGGCTTTTTAACTTCGATCTGATATGGACCTGGATGTCATTTTACAGACATTTGCTGAGCTTAAAGAGGAGGAAAGTTCGTTGTTGAAGGAAAGGACATATTTGGAAAAGGAAATAGCGACCTTACAAGCAACTTTTAAGCAACAAAGAGCCAAAAATGAGAACTTCAAGAGAATCAAGGTGAATTCTGCTGTTCTTTATCCTATATTTATATATATATATATATATATTTCTATTTTTCTTCTAGGATCCTTTCTCCTGGATCTGCCCGTTTGTCCTTTAGATTAGATACAATTATTTGTACGGTAGTTGATATGGGTTTTTGCTGAATACCATATAATTTTGTTTTGCAGCTCGACTTGAACATGCATCCTGCTAGGTATTTGAGTGCAAACTTTGATGGAGCAGGGAAAGCAATTTCCAGTCAACCCCACGAGAGAACAGCTTCGAGCACTCCCTCAAATTTGCCTCCACATCCAGAAGCACAATCCGATTCTTACAGTGAACGCGAGGCTGTTTCGGCCCGAGACAATTCTTTCTTGCTGCCTGATCTAAACATGGAGCCGTGTGGAGAGGAATCTGGTTCCGAAACGCAATACGGGATGAGCTGAGGAAAGCATGGGTAAAATGCATTATGCTTTCAATGAAGAAAGAAACTGATTGATTTGCCAGTATAACATAGCACATTCCAGGAACTATCTCTTCATAAGTAGTACAAGTAGAGATCAGTCGGAGAGTATCCAGTGAAGTTACAGATATAACCTGATCTGGATCCGTTTTACCTAAGTTTTGAGGGTTTTTAGTAAATTAGCAGTCATAGCCATTAGGCTGTAGAGGCTTCCGTTTATGTCACAGCTGTTGCTGCTTTCCTCTGGAAAATTCTTTGGGGTAAACCCTCATTCCTTCTAATGTTCAAATTATTTAGATCATAAATTTGTATCATTCTTTGTAGGTTTTAAAAACCCTATCTGAAATCCAAGTTATAGTTTTCAGTCACCACAATTTCAACTTACGGACAGGTGTCAATGACTCATTGTATTATTGATTATCTAAAGTTTTCAAAATTGTGTATTTTTATTTTTACAATATTAGTCTGTCAATTTTTGTGTCCATAACTCTGATGTCAATTTTGTGTACTTCGGGACATCTATCCACGCCATAATTATATATGCAGACACGCGTCCCTTAAAGTAGAAAGTCATGATTATATTATTGTATATAAATAAGCACTTTCAACTTTGACTTCATGAACTCGTCTGCATGCCATGCACCTACAGATAAGGAGGGTGGGAATTGGAGGGCAAATAACATTTAAATATATACTAATCTCTTTACATGTGCTTCCGCCCTGCTATAGGCATTTTTTTAGAATTAAAAAAGATAATGGGTAGTTGTGTTGCATAAAAATATATCTATTATCTGATTTTTCTTTTAAGTTTAATTTTTTTAAATATGAAAAGTGTGAATTTATTATATTATCCTCGTTTAATTAATAATTGCACGTTTTAATGTTTGTATAAATTAAGGATATTTTATGGTATTTTGAATGTTTCATCATTCTTTGCCTTTGCTAAAAAAATCAATCATAGATAAACCATCTGATTGTGCTTTTTTTAATTGTTGACAAAATGGTATTTTAAATGAGACTAGGTGTATTAAATGTGGGACGCGCGTGCTGATGGTTTTGCATTTTTACCCAAGGGAAAATGTGTGATGATGGACGCGACGCATGAACCACATTTCGAGCCATTTTGCTGAAAAGTCTAAAGTAATCACATTGGCGGTTCTTTTTGGTATCAAGTGAACAACATTTGGTCCTTGAATAGATAAAGTGCTTATGATATCAACTGCTCAGATCATGCCACGTGGTATGAATTGATGGCCAAGAGATAGATCCTTGCTTGAAAGAAAAACTCCTACGCATAAATGGCAGAGTATCTAGCTGAAATACAAAAGAGAGATGGTAGCCCGTGCAAAAACTTTGGATCTATAGTTCCATAAGTGGGTTTTGAATTACTAGAAAAACACATGCCAGTGATGGCAACTTTTATGCAGAGTGTTGTTTGAGCTGATCTTCAACAAGCTCAATACAGCGGTACAAAACTAATTCAATTGGGTTTAAAGTACAAAACGCGTCAAGGGAAAGACCACAATCATTCTTGTTCTCTGCCATTATGGCTGTGACCACAGTACGTAGAGGTAGAAGCCACTCGTTATAGGCTCTCTGTAAATTGCTTCTGGACACCGCTCCGGTGTAGTTAGTTTTTCCTGTGCCATTTTTAATCAGGGTAAATATAGTAAAAAATGAGACTCGTAAACAAGCATTTTCTTTCTGAAGGAAAAAGTAGAGACTCGCACAACACAATATAATTTGCTGTCATGTTTTCCACATTTGCTATTGCTTTAACTCAATGATGGGATATTTACCTGTTGATTCTGTTATTAATACAAATCTGTACAGGTTGAGTGCAGACAGAACCTGTAGAAATAGTACGGAACTTGTCAAACGATTTAGAACAGGTTAACCAATAAGCATCAACAAGCCTAAACAATAAGAGTCTGTACTCTCTACTGAGTCTTGACAATTAAGACATGTTTTTGTCATTTTGTTGCCTTTCATGGACGTATCAAATTTGACCTCAAATATCTTTGACACAGACAAAACCTAGATACTCAAATATCTTCATGTCAGTTCATTTCATGAGGGATTGGCCTATTGTGCAACTAAAAAACTGTTATGCAATGAAACGACATACAGCAACAATTGTGCAAGTGAAGAATATATTCCACATAACATGGTTCCATTATTGGTAAAGATGACAATATGTCCAAAGAAGTGAGGGAGGAAAAGAAGATAAGTTCAGGAATCCAAGACCGCAGAGATTTGAAGATTTGTATTTGTAGCAGTTAAACAAGATTATTGGCTGGCTATATTAAGCGAATCTATGGTTGCGTGAGACCAATCCTAGTTGAAAGCAAACCAAGCATCCCTAATTGTGGTACAGCTAAGGAATTGTAAAACATATCTTTAGACACTATTGCAATCTTAAATTTGAAGCTTATCGACATAAAATAAATATCATGCATAATATATTGGTATACCAAACATAGAGAATTCAGTATTATAAGAAATTTATAAAACGAATTTAACAAAGCACGTGGAAGAAATACCGCATCACTATCCTTGGGAAAGGATGGAGGTCCCCCCTCCGGGGGTCTTAGAATCATCTCCACCAATGCAAGGACATTGGGAGTCCAAAGCACTGGATGTGATTTATACTGTGCTTGCAGAACTTCGTCATTTCCTAGTCTATGGCGACTTTCCTTGTGCATTTCCCCTTTAACAATATCTAAAAGAATTGCAATCTGTATAAGGTTGAAACACCCACATTAGGTAATGTCACATCAAGTCTAATTTGACAAAAAAAAAGAGAGGAAGGAATACATATCAAAAAAACTGGCGCTCAAGGTTTTACCATAGAGGAAGAATCACTTTTTGTGATCAAAGCCTTTAAAATGTCAAACCTCTGAGAAGTTGGAATATCAGCAAGAATCTGGTTTTGATGGTAAACATAAGTAAGTATTAATGTTAATTTACTCTAAACCAAACGAAGTAGAGTACATTCTACACAAAAGCTTACTACTAAATGACCATAGGCTGAGCTATTACTCGCTAATTAAAAATGTGACAGAATACATATATTATAGGTAAACACAACACTGAGGAAAAATAACACAAATCCTCACCCTTTTGAATGCTTCAAAGGCATCCTTCCGGAGCACTGTATCTGATGCATATATGATGACCATTTGCACAGCCTAAAATGTACCATGCGCACAAGAGGTAAAAAAAAACAGATTAGACTCTTTTCCTCTTTGATAAATATGAAACTCCTGCAACATATAATGATGGCAAGCGGCAACCTGCAGAGCAGCAAAAATGCTAGACATATAAGATGAGAAGTCATCATGTTCATCATAGTGGGGGATATTTCCATCTGTAATGCAGAGCAAGAAGTTGATGGCATGTTTTTTAAGTTCCCATGGCAGAGTGACAGGAGCTAGTATGTTCTTTAGCATGCCAACAGCTTGCCACCTTTCAGTCTGGTTATTCTTAAGTTCATCCCTGACAGAAGCCAAATCCTCCTCAGCAGCTCTAACAACCTCATCAGAGGCATGGCCCCAGATCACTTCAATAAAGCAACAGAAAAAACCAAAGCAAAACAAAGTTTCAAGCTAGAAAAAAATTGAGACAATAAGAAAAGGAGCAATCAGCATTCAGAAACATAAACCTGAAAGAGATGCCCCATGCTTGACATCGGATAAATTACTCATATAATCATCTTCATCCTCTGAGTGTGCAGAAATTAAGAACAGAAAAGAAACATCAAGGTCTAAAATTGGATAACAAATAGAATGAACTATCATATAATACATGGGCAGGAATAGTAGTGATTCAAGGGATTTACCTCCAACTACAGTCCTAGATATGATGTCAACAACAGATCCAGTTATTACACCAAGATACGTCAAACCACAAAATGGGAAGAAACTAGACAGTTGCAATACAAAGGGCTGAGAACTTGAAACTTTGTGATTCATGCTAACAAGAGCCTGCAGATCAACAGTGTTTTTAAAAGAAAAAACATAGCAAACCAAATATGGGGGGCATGATATATAAAAGAGTCTAGATTGAAATTTTTTTGGGTAGATATATAACACAGATACCAAAAAAAGAACAGTGAAACTATAACTTAGATTGTATGGAGGTTTGACCATAATCTGTAAGACATAAAGACCAAGTAGCGCACGAAGCTTATCATTTGCTCCACCTTCCTGTAGCATAGAACAAAACATCATTAGGTTCTGATACAGAATATGTTGAGAATCTCAGCATAGTCTTTAACCAGGAAAAACCATTGCATCAATTTGTCACATACCAACTTTACACAAACTGCACGTATGGAATTAGCAATGCTCATAGCTCTGTCAAACAAATTCTTAAATTCTGGATCTTCATCTTCCAACTCCAAAGACCTGGCCTTCAAAACTTTAACGATAATAGGAACTGCTACTTTCACTTGCTCAAAGTGACGCCTCTGAAGGGAAAGAAACACTGAAATTAACAAAAGAAAAAAGAAACAAAAATTAACAAGATAGTGCTATCATCGACTCAATTGGCAAAATTCAATATCCATCTATGACATATACGATAAATCTGATAACAATACCATTAGGGAAGCTCATATAAGTTACCTTTTGAAAGCCCATTTAGAAGAGGCGCAACATAACCAGAATCCCTGATTGTCTCAATTGGGGGAGCTAATGCCTGACCCAAGTACCATAAAAAAAAATCATCAAAGAGCTAAAAACCCAACAGAACAAACAATACAAAAAGTTGAGATAAAATGCACTAAAAAGGCAACATTCATACCTCACAAAGAATTGAAAGCATGTCTCGCGGACTACACAGTGATATAAAGCGATCAATAATGCTCTCAGCAACCTCCAGGCATCTCTCAGAGACACCACCAAACTTGGAAACTGCCATTGGCAGCTCAAATGAGATTGAATCCATGATCGCCTGGGCAAACCAACAAACAGTTTGTAAACATCAAACCATACAATTTACAAAGACTGAAAATTTAAACAAAATGAAGATGAATTTGATGAAATGAAACCTGGTCCAGTGACGGGGAAGAGATAAAGTTGTGAACTTCGGTGAGAGCTTGGAAGGCATTGGTTTCTGCATCTTCATTGTCTGGGTCTGATAGAGCGGCGTCTAGGACTGAATCGAGGAAGCTGGTGAGCTCTGACTCTGAGCTTTGCGGTTGATCAACTGATTTGGACAACGAGTTTAGGATCTCTTGAAGAAGGGGCGAGGACTGTTGCAGATGATCCGCCATGGTGTCGCTGCAACTTCTCAATCTAGAAGAAGATGAATTGGTGCGTATTCTAATTCCAATTACGTTCCACTAGGGTTTTGTTTCCAAACAATAAGGCGCGAATGCTCGCTGCTCTTCTTTTGTTGTTGAGATTTTTATAACTTTTTGGGCAATATTTGTCATTTTTCTAAATTAAGTAATTATAAAACTTTAGTTTAACTTGTATAGACCATTGCAACCATTGAATAAAGTTGTCACATATGAAACCAGTGCTTGAGTTTAACTTCTATTGTAAAGATAAATTATTGTTTCTCGTTATAACATAAATGAATTGATAATATTATGTTGCATTGAAGTTCTAACTAGATAGAAATTGCATATATATGTCATATGAGGTGATGAGATATTTTGCATTCAATTTGCAATTTTGAATTGATTAATGAGGTTTAGAGTATAGACATTAAGTAACAAGTTGTTGAAATAAATTTAGGAAAATGTTATTGGTATTCTCAAATAGTAGCCATGAAGTTGTGGAAGTAAAGAAGGTCAAATGATTCTTTATAGTGTAATAAAATTCAACATATTAAGGTAAAAGTTTCTTGTAATACTAATTTTAAGTTAAAAATTGTTTTATTAAAACTTTGCAAGCATAGTATAGTTTTTCGTTGATAAATATGAGTTAGGTGAGTTCGTCAAGGGAATACGTCTATCTTTCACACTTGAATTCAATCTCTACTTTTTCAATTAAAAGAAAGTATAGTTTTAGGATTCGTTTGGTTTATAGAATTGATTTGAGGGGAAATCACTTGCCATGTCATTTCCCAAGGAATGGGAAATGAAAGATTCCTTTCCCAGGTTTAGTAATGTCAGGAAAGTAACCGAGAGATTTCACTTTGTTTCATTTCATATGTTTGTTTTGAGTATGAATGGAAAACAAAGTTTGTATAATATTTCAATTATACAAATATTAAATAAAATAAAATAAGAATGTATTTAATGATACATTGTACTTCTAAATTGTTCATGGGGACAAACTAGTCATGAAAATTGTGTATTGAATGTTGGTTAATTTTCTCAAACTTTCACATGAGGAGGGAAAACAAAACCTAAGTTGAAAGGAGGGTTTCACTTTCCCCTATACTTTCCTATGTGCCAGACAACCATTTCTCATGCATAGACTTATCAAACATGGGAAAACAATTAAATTTCCATTCCCAAGCCTCATTTCTCACGAACCAAACGAGACCTTAAGGTGCACCTTGTAAAATAAATAGAGGAATAGAAAAAGAAAAAAAAACTCGTCCAAGGGCATCTCTGTCCCCAATTAGAGTCCGCATTACTCCGCAACCAAACACCTTTCCCTCCTCTCCATCAATCTTATTAACTAACCAAAATCCGAAAACACGATCTGTGCCTTCCTCACAGTGACATTTCCACTCTCATGTTCCCGATCCTCTACACTCACTCCCACGCCTAATCCCCTGACTCTCCGGTCCCCGCCCAAAAATGGAGCCGGACGTCAGCATCGAAACCAGCTCCATGATCCGCGTGGCGGTCCTCCCCATCGGCCACGTGCCCCCCGTCCTCCTGCGCGACTACCACTCGATGCTGCTCCGCCACCAGACGATCCCTCTCTCCGCCATCAGCTCCTTCTACACTGAGCACCAGAAGTCCCCATTTTCAAATCAGCCATGGGACTCCGGCAGCCTCCGGTTTAAGTTCATCGTCGGTGGGGCCCCACCGTCCCCATGGGAGGACTTTCAGTCCAATCGCAAAACCCTAGCCGTCATCGGCATCTGCCACTGCCCCTCGTCGCCCGATCTCGACTCGGTCATCGACCAATTCGACTCGGCTCGCCGCGCCTACGCCTCTGCCCTCGTCGATCGCTGCTTCGCCTTCTGCCCCGGCGATTCTCAGGTCTCGAGAATCAGAATCTAGACTTTTCTCTATTTTTTCCGATTCTTCTTTTTTCTTGTTCTTAATTTGAAACTTTTTGGATTTTTTTTGTTTGTTTGTTGTAGTTGGAGGATGGGAGCAAGAAAGGTGGGAACTTGATGCTGTTTCCGCCAGCAGATCGGGCGACGCAAGAGTTTCACTTGCAGACGATGATGCAGGACATAGCGGCGTCGTTGCTGATGGAGTTTGAGAAATGGGTGCTGAAAGCTGAGCCTGCAGGGACTATTGTCAAGACGCCTTTGGATTCTCAAGCTACTCTCAACTCAGAGGAGGTTCATGTCTAGGTGTCCTATAGAATTTTAAGCTGTTGTCATTATTATTATTGTTAATATATAGTTTTGTTGTATCTGAATTGGAGTGGTGGTATGTGAATTTCTTTCTTTGAGCTAAATGTTATGAATTCTATCATTTTTTGGTACTGAAAAGTAAAGTGCAAAATCAATGAAAATGACAGGTTATAAAGGCGAAGAAACGGAGGCTTGGGCGTGCCCAGAAGACAATGGGTGATTATTGCTTGTTGGCAGGGTCACCTGTTGATGCTAATGCTCATTATACTACTGCACTAGAACTTGCTAGGTTGACTGGAGATTTTTTCTGGTATGCTGGTGCATTGGAGGGAAATGTCTGTGCCTTACTGGTAATAGCTCCTTCTCTGGACTTTTGCATGGTTACCTGTGTTTAGTAACGTAGACTTGCATGGCTTTCTGTTTACTTATCGCTTTATTTCCTAATGACTGATTTTTATAAACATGTTGTTAGATTGATCGAATGGGCGAAAAGGATTCGGCTGTGGAAGATGAAGTTAGATTTCGGTATAGTAGTGTCATCTCGCACTACAGGAAGTCATTTATACAAGAACATGCTCAGAGGTAATTCATAGATTCTGTTGTGTTTAACTGGTTGTTACTTTAGTTATGTACTTATTCTTTTAACAGTTACTTTTATTAATCTATTCTGTGCAGAGTTTCACCCTTAACTTTTGAACTAGAGGCTACTTTGAAAATGGCAAGGTTTCTTTGCAGGTAAAATTTGTTCATGAGCATTATATGATTTGATAAAGGCAGCATGTATTACTTGTATGATTGTATCTCGATCTCACTGGATAATGTTCTGGCTCTAAAAAAGTTGAATTAGATCAGAAATGCTAATATGAAGAGAGTTATTATTTACACTATTTCATCTTACAGATATATTTTTGGTTTATTTTGGTAGACGAGAGCTGGCTAAGGAGGTAGTGGGATACCTAACAAGTGCAGCAGATGGTGCTAAGTCTCTTATTGATGCCAGTGATAGACTCGTATTATATGTTGAAATAGCTCGGTTATACGGAACTCTTGGTTATCAGCGAAAAGCTGCTTTTTTCTCGAGGCAGGTAGCTCAGTTATATTTGCAACAAGATAATAGACTGGCTGCTATTAGTGCAATGCAAGTTTTAGCAATGACCACAAGAGCATATCGTGTTCAAAGTAGAGCTTCCATCGCAGAAGATTCTCCTTCCAAAGTGAGTATATAAGTATTAAGCAAAAGATTCCAGGTCAGGTTTTGCATTTCAGTCTGGCTGCATGCTTATTTCCCTAGTAAATTTTTTGTTTAAACCTTCTTATATGTTGTGTGGCTTTGATTGTTTGTGAGCCTTAGTAAGTTTTCAGCTACTCATTCTGGTTTTATTTTCGCACAGAAGGAAGTTGGATCAAGTCTTGCTGAGGGTGGGAAAATGCTCCACCAGTCAGTAGTCTCTCTATTTGAGTCTCAGTGGAGCACACTACAGATGGTTGTACTCAGAGAAATTCTTCTATCTGCCGTCCGTGCAGGAGATCCTCTTGCTGCCTGGGGGGCAGCTGCAAGACTACTAAGATCATATTATCCTTTAATTACACCAGCTGGGCAAAATGGCCTTGCTAGTGCACTTTCAAATTCAGCAGATAGGTTGCCCTCGGGAACTCGCTGTGCTGACCCAGCTTTACCTTTCATTAGGTCTTCACCAGTACCTATGCATTTTTCCTGTTAGTACATGAACATTTTATTTCTTATGAAGCCTAACAACAATATTATTTGCTGTGCTATAGGTAATTTTTTCCCATCGTCTTTATTGCAAGAGAAGTATATAGTTGCACAGAGACCATGATACCTAGGAGTTGAACAAATATTGTTTACCATAATTATTATATATATATTTCAAAGGCAATTAATATGCTTAATCTAGCAGAGCAGCAATGAAACAGATCTTTCTGATACATGAATTACAGACGAATCTGAAGTAAACTCATTTGAAAGGTTCCTTATTTTTTCCTTCTAATCTTAGACTGCAGAGCAATGAGAAGTGAATACCTGCTAGCTCTGCCCAACGTAATGATTTTTTTATGGATGCTAGATTTTTTCTTATTTACTTTTTGTTTCTGTCAAGTTGAGGCTACTTGCTTTAGAGCCTTTTTATTTTTTATTTTTTTATAACAGTGTTTTATTTACCTATATACTCTTTGTGGAACTATAATGTGCTTAGATCCTGTGGTAGAGCTAAGAAGTCTTCTATTCTTATTGCTGATGAGTGACAATCTATTCCTTTGATTTTAAAAATCTCCCATATCTAAGGTGATCCTTAACTGAATATTGATGTCAAGGATACAGGCAAATCACCATTATGTTCTTCATTTAATTCTCATCAAATTTTTCTAGGATTTTTCTAATTCAATCATACTTGCTTCTAGATTGTATTCTTTTCCTATGCATCCTTCGCAAATGGACATTGTAAAGCGCAATCCAGCAAGAGAAGACTGGTGGGCAGGAGCTGCTAATACTGGGCCTTTTATTTATACGCCATTCAGCAAGGGAGATGCAAATACTAACACCAAACAGGAGCTGATTTGGATTGTTGGAGAACCAGTTCAGATTTTGGTCGAACTGGCAAACCCATGCGGCTTTGATTTGAGGGTTGATAGTATATATCTCTCAGTGCCTTCAGGAAATTTTGATGCTTTTCCAGTTACTGTAAACCTTCCACCCAATTCATCAAAGGTGGTCACTTTATCTGGGATCCCGACTTCGGTGGGGACAGTAACAATTCCTGGGTGCACTGTCCACTGCTTTGGTGTTATTACTGAACACCTGTTTAAGGATGTTGACAATCTGCTCCTTGGAGCTACACAAGGACTTGTGCTTTCTGACCCATTCAGATGCTGTGGGTCTGCGAGGTTGAAAAATATATCTGTTCCAAACATTTCTGTGGTACCACCATTACCATTGCTGGTTTCACGGGTTGTCGGGGGTGACGGTGCAATCATTCTACATGAAGGTGAAATTCATGATTTATGGATAAGTCTGGCTAATGCAGGTACTGTTCCAGTTGAGCAAGCACATGTATCACTATCAGGAAAAAACCAAGATTCTGTTATCTCGTTTGCATCTGAAACTTTAAACTCAGCCCTCCCGTTGAGGCCTGGTGCGGAAGTGACTTTACCTGTGACCTTAAGAGCTTGGCGGCATGTCTTAGCAGATGCAGATACAGCAGGCAGGAGTGGCTCTGGAGGCACTGTGAGGCATTCTAAGGATGGAAGTAACCCCACATTGTTGATCCATTATGCAGGTATTGATAAATCTATATAATACTCTCTCGCTCGCACACAATCTAGAGTTTGGCTTTATTAGCTTTGATATGGAGAGGTTAGGTTACCCACACCACATATACTCTCACATCATTTGGTACTGAATGCTAAACCTTTTTTATTTATTTATTGATGTGTTCCTACTAATTGCTAAAGTTAATTGTTGGAGTTTTTTCATAGTGATGAGTTACAGCTCTCTGTATCTCTGTGGCACCTTGTTCCTGAGTAGTGAGTATGAGTACCATTAACTTCTCTTTCTGACAATAATGCTTTACATTTTACTTCTCAGGGCCTCTGACAAATATTGGAGATCCTGCCACAAATAAATCTGCTGTTCCCCCTGGCAGGCGCCTGGTTGTTCCTTTGCAGATTTGTGTTTTGCAGGGTTTGTCTTTTGTAAAGGCTCGTCTGCTCTCAATGGAGATTCCTGCTCAAGTGGGTGAAAACCTTCCAAAACCAGTTCATATAGAAGATAGCCCTACTGAAGCTCTTAGTTCTCCAACTAAGATGGACGGATTGGTGAAGATTGATCCTTTCAGAGGAAGTTGGGGACTACGCTTTCTTGAACTTGAGCTGTCTAATCCCACTGATGTTGTCTTTGAAATTACTGTTTCAGTCCAGCTGGAGAACTCTAGTCATGATCATAGACTTTCTGGAGATCGAGATGCTGCTGAGTATGGTTACCCTAAAACAAGAATTGATCGAGATTGCTCCGCAAGGGTACTGATACCACTGGAGCATTTTAAATTACCAGTTCTTGATGATTCTTTCTTTGTGAAGGATAATCAGGCAGATGGGGCTAATAGTGGCAGAAATTCAAGCTTTTCAGAAAGGAATACTAAAGCAGAACTTAATGCTTCTATCAAGAACCTCATATCTAAAATAAAGGTTAGGTGGCAATCAGGGCGGAACAGCTCTGGGGAGTTAAATATCAAGGATGCTATACAGGCAGCCCTTCAGACATCAGTTATGGATGTACTGCTGCCAGACCCATTGACATTTTGCTTCAGGCTTTCTAGATATGCCCTTGAACCTGAAAATTCTAGTTCGCACAATTCACCCAATGTTCAAGTTCACTCTGCTGCAGCTAAGGGTTCTGTGCTGGCGCATGAAATGACTCCGATGGAAGTCGTGGTTCGTAATAACACAAAGGAGAAGATCAAGATGAGTCTTAGCATCACATGCAGAGATGTTGCTGGAGAGAATTGCGTAGAGGGTACAAAGGCAACTGTCTTGTGTTCGGGTAATGTTCTATGATGATGCCTTTCTTCAATCACCTCTTTAATCCTGCCTATTTTTTGTTTATTTCTGAAACTGTTTGTTTGGAAATCAGTGTTATTAGAACTTGCATTGCAATTTTCATAGATGGAATACAATGTGTCACTGATGTGTTTTACGATTGATTTGTATGTAGGTGTTTTGAGCGGGATCACCGTGGAGGTTCCTTCGCTTCAAGAAATCAAGCATTCTTTCTCTCTGTATTTTCTTGTCCCAGGAGAGTACACGCTGGTAGCAGCCTCGGTGATCGATGATGCTAATGATATTCTCAGGGCTCGCGCAAGAACTAAATCCTCTGATGAGCCGATTTTCTGCCGTGGGCCGCCATATCATGTTCGTGTTGTTGGGACTGCATGATGGTTCTGCCCACTAAAAACATCAGCTGGATTAGCTCCCAAAATGTACTACGTTAGGGTAGAGGAACAATGCTTTTCAGTGTCAGTAAACAATGCCAGCTTTTTATTGGCAGCGGCAGGAGTTAAGAGTTATGTGTTCTTGAGATTCGCCGGGGAACCCTCCCTCCATTTTATCGACTTCTGAAAACAAATTCTTATTATTAGGGTGTTTTCTGTTGTACATTTATATTCATATTGTAATTTTGTACAATGTTGTGAAATAAGTTGTCACCCTGTTCAACCTATCGATTTGGCTTTACTTTTTTTATTTACACTAAAAAACATGATTGTAGATTCTTGAGTGTTCATTTTAGCAGGTGATTATTGTCGTCTGATTGATCATTCGTGGTCTCTTTATTTTTTAACGAACATTTGTGGTCTTATCTTACGTCTTGTTTAATTTCGAAACCAGATCAATGATTATTTCCTAAGAGTTATGCCACTTTTCTTGAAGTATTATGTGTTAATTGTTTGTGCAAATAATCTCACGGGAGAATATTCGCTTCTAGATCCTTCAACCTTCGAACTTCCTTCTCTCTCTTCCTCGATTCCTGTAAAACAGATTGGAGTAAATAGACCACACCCGGGGGGTGTTGGCCAAAGGCCCTCCGATGCCTAAGTTAGTTCGAGTGTTTGTAGAAAACAATAGCTAAGCAAAGGGTACGGAGTAGTGTTTATGTAGGGTGTGAACCGGGCGGCCGGAGCCGTGTGTGGTGGCCGGAGCCGTGTGGAGAAAATATGGAGAGTGGAGAGGGAGAAAGAGCTTCGGGTATTTTTCTCGGGTATCAGGAGTAGGTTTAGATGTACCTTGAATGATGAATGAAGTCATCTATTTATAGGAGCCTCGGGGCTAGGGTTTCGTAGAGAATATGCTGAGTTTATTCTCTACCCAAATTCGTAGGGATCGAGTCGGACTGAGATAATATCTGATTTAATGATATTATCTCTTTTTATGGAGATAATATCTAATTAAACGATATTATCTCTTTTTATGAAGATAATATATGAGATAATGACATTATCTTCTCTTTATTAGGATAATACCTTAATTAATGATATTATCTTATTAAATAAAGATAATATCATGTTAATTAAGATGTTTATCCCAATTAATTAATTGGCCAGATAAACTGGTTCAATTAATTAATTAAAAGAGATAATCTTCTTTTCCACGTGGCGCGCTATGATTGGAGACGAAAATATTTGCTCCCACAAATGCCCCCCAGCTTCTGCATGGCGCTTGTGTGGCATGTAGGAGATGAAATTATTTTTTTCGGGCTCTCCAACTGAGTCTGGGCTTTCTTATGTGAGTTGGACTCCTTTGCAGATCAGATTTCCAATTGGTGCAGGCTTTTGACTGTTGTTGGAGTTGGATTCCCAGTAGGAATGAGCTTGTGATCCCTCCTTGACCTGGGTTGTCCAACCTGTATAAATACATGGCTTTTCTTCACTTTTTCTCACATCACAAACTTAACTTCTCTACCTTCTAGCTTGAGAAAGATATTAGAGAATTTGTACTGCTTTGTTGAAGAGAGGAATTTCCGTGCATCCAGAGTAAGTCGAGCTCGTGAAAATATATATGCGCATATATATATTTTTTCTGATTTTTGGCAGCAAGGAGATGGTCTAGCATGAGCTGCAAATTCGTGGGTCTGAGTACAAAGATCTGGAATGGAGCTGTGCTTGCATGTGCTGGGCTTGAAGGGAAAGCATGGAGGAGCCAAGCCCAAGGCAGAAGGATGGAGGCGCTGGGCTTCGGAGCAGATGCTTGGAGATGCGATGGGCCTTACGCACGACGCAGGCTTGCGCTGGGCTGGACCACGAGGTGCGTGCTGACGAGGAGCGAGAGGCCTTGTGCGCTGCACATGCCTGGCGTGACGTGGGCCGAAGGGATGCGCTAGTGGGCTGCGACGGAGCTGGGCCTTGTGCGCTGTTGGGATGGAGCTGGGCCATGCGCGCTGGGCTGGAGGCGCTGGGCTGCGTGCGCTGGGCTGGAGGCGCTGGGCTGCGTGCGCTGGGCTGGAAGGGCTGACGGGCTGCTCATGCTGGGCTGTTTTTTTTTCTTTTCTGTTTGCTGCCAGTTTTTCCTTTCCCTTTTGTTTTGTTTTGTTTTTTTTCTTCCAGCCATTTTTTGTTTTGTTTGGGGTTCTAACTTGTGGAATTTTCTTCTCTTCTTGCAGTTGTTCGTTGACTAACCATGCCTTCCAGAGACGGTAGCAAGGCTTCAAGCTCTCAAGTGCCTTTGTATTTGTGGGGAGGTTCCGAGGTGTACAAGAAGAGGTTTGTGGCCAACCTGCGCCGCGTTACAAATGAAGATCAATTCCAGAGGTGGCGGGCTGCTTATGCTTCTGCAATTCCTAAGGATGTGCATATCAAGCTGGCGAAGCCTTTGACTGACAACATGCCTTGCGTGGATGCGAATGATCCAAATGCGAGAATCATCACCTTCCGTCCCTTTTACTTCTCATTGGGCTTCAAATTCCCGTTGTCGAAGCTCTTCAAGGAGGTGTTTTGCGCCATGGGGTGTGCTCCGAGCCAGTGTACTCCCAATGTTTATCGGGCGATCATGTTCTTCGAGAATCTAAGCCGTTTCTTCACGTTGGAGCTAACAGTGCGAGAGTTCTTTTACTTTTTTGAAGTGAGGTGTTTCAAGGAGTACGCACAACTTCGCACCTGCAATGTCAAGCTGTTTGACAGTCTTAGCCAAGGAGATCACGTGTGGCATGATGATGTGTTGGAAGTCAGCGGACGGTGGGAAGGTGATGTTGGTGATGGTCCACTTGTTCCCATCACCTATTGCAACGGTACGTCTTTTTGCCGGTTCTTGATATGCTCTTTTCTTTTGTATATATTTCTTGAAGCGTAGCTGACTAACTTCTGTCTTCTGCTTGTAGCGGACGACATCAGCAAGAAATTGGAGCTTGAGCCTGACATGGCTAAGGTCCGCCGCGCTTTGAACATCCCCCAAAAGTTCCGTGAGTGGCGTTGGCTGTTGAGCGAGTATCGGGAGGAGGACGGTGGTCTGCCCCCAGTCGAGGATGTCGAAAGATGGAAGCAGAATGGTCCGGACCCTGATGATCTGTCTGCTGAACAAGAGGCATGCTCTGCTGAACCTCCATAAAAAAGGAAGGTTGAAGTCAAGTCGCCGAGAACTCAAGCTACCTCTTCACGGGCGAGGAACGTGTCTCCATTGAGGAAGAAGCCAAAGCTCCCTTCTGCCGAGAAGATCCAAGTAGGAGTTGTTCCCGCCTCATCTGCCAGGGTCAAACATCTTGTTGGTGCAGACAGCAAGAAGATTGGCGGTATGCGCCACATAAGGGATGCTCCCCTTAAGCCTCTTGCTGACGAGCTTGGAGGTCATGATCTGCTTTGCGAAGTGGTCCGTGAGCGATCTAGCTCACCTGTTGAAAGACAAAGAGATGCGGATGTTCCTCCCCGAAGTTCGGGTCGTTTGCACCAGTCGAAGAGTGGAGGTCGATGTGGGAGGTCTGCTCATCCATCCAACCGTCATGATCCAACTGTTGAGTCACGGGCAATCAAGCATGGAGTTGATTCGACGTCGCAAATTCCTTTGGAAGTGAGGTTGGCGGAGGCTAGGAAAGCAAGAGAGTCATCTGCCCGAACAAAAGGTTCTTCTGCAACGTCAGCGACTGATCCAAAGGTGGACAAATCTAGCCCTGCAGGGGATGCAGGCGTGTCTGATCTGCTAAAGACGCAATTTCTATCAAGTCCATCCTCTTGTGCTGAGCTGGTTGACCAAATCCGTCAGGCTGGCGATCTTGGTACTTTTTCAAGTCTTTCCTTGGAAAAGCAAAGGGAAGCGACACTTCATCTGCTTCAAAAGGGAGTAGTTTTTGCTGCTGAGACCATTCGGAACTCGTCTGCTGTTGCCCCCTCTTCTGTTCAGCTCAGCGAGTTGGAGAAGAAGAATGCCGAGTTAGTCAGCAAACTTTCCGCCGAGCAGACCCGTTATGAGAAGAAGACGTCTGATTTGCGGGCGATGATATCTGAGTTGAAGAGTTCCCTTGCTGAGAAGGATTCCGAGCTTAACTCTTCTGCTGCTGACTTGGCAAGTCGAAAAGATGCTTATTTCCACCTTGAGCGCAAGAATGCCGACATCTCTCATAGCTATGACAAGCTTTTAGCTAGACTTCACGCCTACCATGAGTCTGCTGAGGAATCCAAGTCTGAAGTGGCCATGGACGCGTACAAGCTGGGCTACCTGGACTGCACAAAAGGATATGATCCCTACTACGCCATTGGAGATGAAGACATCGAGATGCTCTATCCAGACTTGCCCTCTGCGAAAAGTGAGGAGGCTAATGCTGTGAACATCGAAGGAGCTGAAAAGCAGGTGACTAAAGAGGCGGTAGCTGAGGAGGATGCAGCCGATGAGGTGGTGGCAGACGTCATAGATCAGGCATGTGGAGCTGCTGAAAGCGTGGTTGATCAGGCGGACGCTGAAGAGGCTGTACATCAGGGATCTCCTGCTGGCGCTTCGGAGTAGACGAGGACTCCTTTATTTCTTTTCAGCTTTTGTAGTCTGCTTTTGTTTAGAATAATCGGTCTTGTTTGACCATCTTCTTTTTGTTGAACTTTGGCCGATTGGTCGCTTTGCTATGAAAATTTCAGTCTTTATTTTTCAACTTTAATTTGCATATTGTCTTGTGAACTGCTTGAGTAACCGGCTAGTGTCTTGATTGCACATCTCCCTTTGGAGATTCATGAGTGCTGGGGTTCCCCTTGAAGGACTTCGAACGTGTTCTGCATATCCCTTAGGATGACTTGGTCGTCGCCCTGCGTCTCCCGAATGACGCTACTTATGGGCAACTGTGTGGCTATCCTGCCTCCCTTAGGAAACGGATAGGAACCTGGATACTTCCCGCAGGAGGCATGGAGACCTCCTTTTAAGAAATTCCTGGCGCACCCTGCGTCTCCCTTAGGACGCTTTTTTAGTGGGCTGCGTCTCCAAACGGACGCTTTTAGTCGTCGCCCTGCGTCTCCCGTAGGACGCTGCTTATGGGCAACTGTATGACTATCCTGCCTCCCTTAGGAAACGGATAGGAACCTGGATACTTCCCGCAGGAGGCATGGAGACCTCCTTTTAAGAAATTCCTGGCGCACCCTGCGTCTCCCTTAGGACGCTTTTTTAGTGGGCTGCGTCTCCAAACGGACGCTTTTAGTCGTCACCCTGCGTCTCCCTTAGGACGCTCCTTATGGGCAACTATATGACTATCCTGCCCCCCTTAGGGAACGGATAGGAACCTGGATACCTCCCTTAGGAAATTCCTGGCGCACCCTGCGTCTCCCTTAGGACGCTTTTTATGGGCTGCGTCTCCCGAAGGACGCTTCTGGTCGTTGCCCTGCGTCTCCCGAAGGACGCTGCTTATGGACAACAGTTGTGTTTTGTAGGTAGATGAGACATTTTGGAATGAGAAACTGAACTTATATTGATATTCATAAGATTACAGTCCTTTATTCGAAAATGGAGATCACTGAGTACAAAAACTTGAAACTTCTAGCAGTCAGGATGAAGCATTACGGATAATACTTTCGGAGATGGTAGGCATTCCATTGCCGTGGTATTTCCTTCCCATCCATGGTGTCCAGCGTGTAGCTTCCTCTGCCCCCGGACCGGCTGATTACATAAGGGCCTTCCCAATTGGGTTTTATTTTCTTAGACCCTTGTCTTTGTGCAGTGATGAAGGCTTTTCTTAGCACAAGGTCGCCAGGTTGAAACTGTCTGATCTTGGCTCTTTTGTCGTAGTAGGACTTCAACCGCTGTTGATAGGAGGCGACTCGCACAATGGCCTTCTCGCGCTCGCCTTCAAGTAAGTCAAGGTTGAGTCTCATCTGCTCGGAGTTCTGCTCTATGCTGCCGACTTCAATGCCTATAGAGGGGACATTGACGTGAGGAGGAATGATCGCTTCAGTTCCATAGGCAAGGGAAAATGGGGTTTCGTCAGTCGACCTTCGTTTGGTGGTGCGATAAGCCCATAGTACTCCGGGGAGTTCGTCCACCCATTTCCCTTCGGCGCCTTCTAGCCTTTTCTTCAAGCAGTCTAATATGACTTTGTTGGATGCCTCAGCCTGCCCATTTCCTTGTGGATACCTTGGAGTAGACAGGTGTTGTTTGATCTTGTATTTCGCAAAGAAGGCGGTGATCTGCTTGCCAATGAACTGTGAGCCATTGTCAGTGACCAACGATTGTGGGCAGCCGAACCGGCAGATGATATTTCTCCAGATGAATCGCTCCACATCGGCTTCTTTAGTAGAGGATAGAGCTTCGGCCTCGATCCATTTAGTAAAGTAATCAGTGGCGACGATCATCATTTCTTTCTTGGCAGGCGCCGGTGGCAAGGGACCCACTAAGTCGATGGCCCATTGCATGAATGGCCATGGACTGTTTTGCGGATGGTAAACTTCGGCAGGCAGATTAGGGATCGGCTTGTATCGTTGGCAACGATCACATCTTTTGACATATTCAGCGGAGTCGTGGCGCATGGTAGGCCAGAAATAGCCTACGTTTAGAGTTTTCTGGGCGAGTGACCTGCCCCCCGAGTGGTTGCCACACTCGCCGTCGTGAATTTCGCAGAGGACTTCAAGTGTTTGAGGGTACTTTATGCAGGTGAGATGAGGGCCGGAGTAAGATCTACGGATGAGCTTGCTGCCTAGCTTCGGACTTATCCATTGGCAGGTTTCCATTCACTAAGTAGTCGATGATGGGGTCTTGCCAGCTAGGGTCCTCATCAATCTGCATTGAGTCGATCGGCTCTATTTCTTCGATGCTTGGCCGGTCAAGGTGTTCAACTGGGATGGAGCGTCTGAACTGGGTGTCCAGTGCTGATCCTAGGCTCGCCAACGCATCTGCATGAGTGTTCTCTGCTCGTGGAACTTGTTGGATGGTGAAAGTAGGGAATTCTTTCAAAAGTCCTTGGACTTTGTCGAGGTACTGAATCATTCTTGGGTGCTTTGCCATGTACTCGCCTGAGGCTTGATTCGTGATCAGTTGGGAGTCTGAGTAGACGGCCAGTCTCTTGATCAACAGTTCTTTCGCTAGGCGTAGTCCTGCAAGCAGTGCCTCATATTCTGCCTCGTTGTTTGAAGCAGAGAAGCCTAGTGTGATAGCTTGTTCCAACAAGGTTCCGTCTGGGGTGATTATGACGACTCCCGCTCCCGCTCCCTTGTGATTTGATGCTCCGTCTACATGCAACTGCCACATGTCGTTAGGTAGGTTCGAATCGGTGGGGAAGGTGTCGTCCGCTTTTTCCTTGCTTTTCGCAACCATCTTCTCTTCTTCGGCTGTCGGAGTAAACTCTACAACAAAATCTGCTAAAGCTTGGGCTTTTATAGCAGTCTTCGGCCGGTAGAGGAGGTCGTATTGACTGAGTTCGATAGCCCATTTCATGAGTCGCTGAGAAGCGTCGGGGCTGTGAAGGATCGATCTCAAAGGAAATTCTGTTATGACAATTATCCGGTGTGCTTGATAGTATGGCCTTAACTTTCTCGCAGAAACCACAAGCGAAAAAATGAGCTTCTCCATTTTCGGATAGCGAGTCTCTGCATCGAGGAGAGCTTTTGAAGTGTAGAATACCGGATGTTGTGCCCCCAGCTCTTCTCGGATGAGAGCTGAGCTGACAGCTGAGTCGGACACCGCTAGGTAGATGTACAAGTCTTCGCCTGGCATCGGCTTTGAGAGTAATGGAGGTGAAGTGAGGTAAGTTTTCAAGTTTTGAAAAGCCACTTCACACTCGTCATCCCACTTATCCTTGTGTCCCTTCTTCAAGGCTTTGAAAAATGGCCTGCATTTGTCGGTAGATCTAGAGAGGAATCGGTTGAGAGCTGCCGCCCTACCCGTTAGACTTTGTATCTCCTTTGTTGTGGCAGGTGACTTCATGTTGAGTATAGCCTTGATTTGATTTGGATGTGCCTCAATTCCTCTTTGGGTGACTAAGTATCCAAGGAATCGGCCGGACGAGACTCCAAATGTGCATTTGCTCGGGTTCAACTTCATGTTGTATTTTCGGAGTATGCTAAATGCCTCGGCAAGATTCTCGATGTGGTCTGCTCGCTCGGGAGCTTTGACTAGCATGTCGTCTACGTAGACCTCCATAGTCTTGCCAATTTGCTCCTTGAAAATTTTATTCACCAGCCTTTGGTAGGTTGCTCCGGCGTTCTTCAGCCCAAAGGGCATGACCTTGTAGCAGTAGGTACCTCTTTCGATGATAAAAGAGGTCTTTGCCTTGTCGTCTTCATGCATCATGATCTGGTTGTAACCGGAGTAGGCGTCCATGAAGCTTAGCAGTTGATTGCCGGAAGTTGAATCGACGAGCTGGTCAATTCTCGGCAGTGGAAAGTTATCTTTAGGACATGCCTTGTTGAGGTCAGTATAGTCGACGCACACTCTCCACAGGCCTTTATCTTTCTTTGCTACTAGAACAACGTTCGCCAGCCATTCTGCGTATGAGACTTCTTCAATAAAACCGGCAACTAGAAGCTTGTCGATCTCGGCTTCAATGATGGCGACTCGCTCGGGGGCGAAGTTGCGTCTCTTCTGCGCTACAGGCTTGATGGCTGGGTTGACGTGTAGGCGATGGCAGATGATCTGGGGATCGATGCCAGGCATGTCAGATGGTGACCATGCAAATACGTCTTTGTTGTTCTGGAGGAAGGCTACAAGCTCTGCCTTTTCCTCCTGGCTTAGGCGCGAGCCGATCCGCGCTGTTCTCTCTGGCTTGTCAGGATCAAGGGGTACTAGCTCAACGTCCTCCTCGGGCTTCCATCCTTCTTCAGGATAGACCTCCGGACGGATTCCCTCAACTTGGTCCTGATTCTTTGATTGCTATTGGGGAGTAGTTATTCCCTTTCCTTTTTGGCCTGCTCGGCCGTCAGGAACGGGATCTGCTTCCTCATCTGCTTGTTCTACTCCCTTTAGATCTGCTTGATTCACAGGGAGGAACTGTGTTTGCTTGCCTTTCTTCAGCCCTTGAGCTGAGCATTTCCTCGCCATCGCCTGATCGCTGTCGATTTGGCCGATCCCACCCAAAGGAATTGGGTAGCGAATCTTCTGATGCGTGGCGGAGGTGATGGCATTGATCTTGCTGATCCATGGTCTGCCTAGAATGCCATTGTAGGGTGAGACTTCATCAATGACCATGAACGTTTGAGAGCTGATTACAGGTGGGGCGTAGACGTCGAGCTCTATCGTGCCCACGGTAACCGTTGTTGCTCCATTGAAACCAGTCAGTGACTTGGCTGATTTATTGATCTTTGCCTCTAAGCCCATCTGTTGGATAACTGTCAATTGTAGGATGTTGGCCGCACTGCCCTCGTCTGCATGGATTCGGCCGACCATGGCCTGAGCGATTTGAATGCTGATGACAAGAGCGTCATTGTGTGGTAGATCAAGGCCAATTAGATCTTTCTTTTGGAAGCCGATTATAGGGTCGTCTTCTGCTAGCGGAATGTCGGTTGAGACTTGGGAGATCATAGTGGCTTGTTTGATCTTCCTTTTTTTTTCCTTGCTGGTCAACCCAGATTCCTCGGAGTCGGCTAGGATTGTGTTAATCCTTATGACCTTTTGGGGCGGCTTCTTGGTGGTGTCGCGGTCCTCTATCTGTTGGATGGCCTGCTTAGCGATGAATTCTGTGCAGTGACCTTCCTTCACGAGTTCTTCGAGGTGTGCTTTCCAAGCGAAGCAGTTGTTCGTAGTGTGTCCATGCGTCCCATGGAAGGCACAGTATTTGCTAGTATCCCTCCTGTCTGGATCTCCTTTCAAGGGTGGCGGTCTTCTTACCCAAGGTTTGTTTTTCACTTGGGCTAGGATTTGATGTATAGGGATAGTGAACTTGGTGTAGTTCTCTCCTGCCTTAGCGTCCTCTTGTGGGTGTGACCTGCGCTTGTCCTTGTTCTTGTTGCTAAATCCATCGCTTCTTTGGCCCGCCCGCTTGGTCTGCTGATCTCCCTGCTCAGTGGACTTCTTCGCGGCAATTCGATCGTCATCCCAGAGCGCGTAGCGTTCTGCGGTCGCGAAGACCTCTGCTAAAGTCTGGCTGGGAGTGATAGTCAGCTCGCGGTATAACTCGTGTTCTGCTGGAAGACCTTTCTTGAAGGCAGATGATGCGATTTGGTCGTCGCACCCTACGATGTTGGCCTTTTCTGCTTTGAACCTCTTGATGTAATCTCGAATGGATTCGTCGGGCTTCTTGCGCAGGTTGAACAGATGATCTGGGTTCTTCTTGATCGTCCGATAAGAAGTGTATTCTTTAGTGAAGACATAGGCAAGCTCCTTGAAACTGTTGATCGACCCAGATGGCAGGGTGTGGAACCAGTCCTGAGCTGCTCCTCGCAATGTCATTGCAAATGCCTTGCACATCAGTGCGTCGTCGGCCTTGTGGAGGATCATGACACTTTTGAAGTGTTTTAGGTGGCTCTCGGGATCGGAATCTCCCTTGAAATGCGTAAAAGAAGGCGTTGAGAATCGCTTCGGGGGAGTAGCCTGCTCGATTTCAGGGGTGAAAGGAGTAGAGATCGCTTGGTCCATCTCCTTACGTAGTGCATCCTCGAGGTTCCCGCTAGCCTTCAAGTCTCGAAGTCGGTCATTCACAAGCTTCTCAACATCTTCCACGCGTAGTGCTGGTCGATCACGTTGGCGCCTTTTACGATTTGAGCGACGCTGATTGACCTCCTCGTTGGTCTGCAAGGGTCGGTCCTCTCGTCCGCAATGCCTAGGAGGCGTGTTGGTGGACTGCGATTGCGAGGGATTTTCTGCAGCTTGACGGCGAGAGTTGGTTCTCCGAGAGCGGGCAATGGAGTGCCTCTCTTCACGATCCTCATTGCGAGGGTTACCGGGTTGACCTCCCTGGGAGCCTAGCCTTTCGTGAATATTTCTCTGCGAGTGGGCAGCGGAGCGCCTCTCTTCACGATCCTCATTGCGGCGATTGTCAGTTTGATCTCCCTGGGAGCCTAGCCTTTGAAGTACATTCCCCTGCGGGCCCAGGCGAGCACGGACGTCAAGTCGTGGGCCGAGCCTTTCTCGCACGTTGCTTTGTGTGTGGCTTGCAGATGCTTGCGACATGTCGGCAAGCTGATCACGTGGTTGTGCATCCCCTTGTCTGCTCGCTCCTGCTCGACCCGCTTGGTCCCCGTTGAGCTGCCCACCGGTGCGTTCGTCTATTCTTCTCACTTCGCCTGGTTGTCCAAGGCCAAGATTTTGAGCCACGCTTATTTGATTAAGGAGCTGCCTCATAAGAGCGTTTTGGTCGTCCATTCTCTGAGCTAGCCGGTCAACTCTCAGGTTGAGATCTGCTTGACTTTGTGGATCGGGAGGAGAGAAGCGTGTGGAGCCCAATTGCACACGGGCTAGGGTTTCATTGGATGTGTGTGCAGGAGCATGCGTCGAGCGTGGAGGCAATGGAGGGAATGCTTGAAGTTGCTCCAAGACCGGGCCTAAGTCAGTGGTGGTAACGAGCCCACCTTGATGGGAGGTTCCACCATGTTCGGCGACGGTGCCACGGAGGTTGCTAGATTCGGTCGCGGGTCCGGTAGGTGGCACGGTGGCAAGAGGTGGTGGTGCCACCATGTTGATCGCGGGATCGTGGGTGGAGTGGCTTTGGGCCGTCACGGATTGAGCCATCGCGGCGGTTTTACTCCTCGTGCGCTTGCTTCCAACCATGGTTGTTTGGAAGGCTTCGGTGAATTGGAAAATATGAGGAACGGATTCCTTGAGCACGCGTTGAGTATAACTCGTGCTCTCAATGAAAAGCACCAAATGTTTGTGCAAATAATCTCACGGGAGAATATTCGCTTCTAGATCCTTCAACCTTCGAACTTCCTTCTCTCTCTTCCTCGATTCCTGTAAAACAGATTGGAGTAAATAGACCACACCCGGGGGGTGTTGGCCAAAGGCCCTCCGATGCCTAAGTTAGTTCGAGTGTTTGTAGAAAACAATAGCTAAGCAAAGGGTACGGAGTAGTGTTTATGTAGGGTGTGAACCGGGCGGCCGGAGCCGTGTGTGGTGGCCGGAGCCGTGTGGAGAAAATATGGAGAGTGGAGAGGGAGAAAGAGCTTCGGGTATTTTTCTCGGGTATCAGGAGTAGGTTTAGATGTACCTTGAATGATGAATGAAGTCATCTATTTATAGGAGCCTCGGGGCTAGGGTTTCGTAGAGAATATGCTGAGTTTATTCTCTACCCAAATTCGTAGGGATCGAGTCGGACTGAGATAATATCTGATTTAATGATATTATCTCTTTTTATGGAGATAATATCTAAATTAAACGATATTATCTCTTTTTATGAAGATAATATATGAGATAATGACATTATCTTCTCTTTATTAGGATAATACCTTAATTAATGATATTATCTTATTAAATAAAGATAATATCATGTTAATTAAGATGTTTATCCCAATTAATTAATTGGCCAGATAAACTGGTTCAATTAATTAATTAAAAGAGATAATCTTCTTTTCCACGTGGCGCGCTATGATTGGAGACGAAAATATTTGCTCCCACATTAATGTTACCTGAAATATCAATTGTTTAAAAGCATTATTAAAAATGCACTAATATGTATTGGGTATCAAACACAAATATTGTTATCTAGATAATTATGTAAGGAATTTGAAAACGCGAATCAAGTAATTAAGAGCATTCGTAATATATGGAGGTATAAAAACCTTGGGTCAAAACTAAATTTTCATTGTGATTTTATGAGTTATCAAAACTAGTCTCTATTTTGAAATGCCGTTACTCAAAAACCTTGCACGACTCTTGTTTCCCTCCTCATTTCCCCGCCGGCATACAGTGACATAAACTGAACAACTGGTAAAATTCCCAGTGATCCACTGATGCTACAATGAAAACTCAGGGACCCAAGTCACTCCTAGCTCTCGTAGAAACCTGCACAAGCCTTAATCAACTGAAGCAAATCCATGCCAAATCTATAATCTCAGGCCTTTTCTACAACAATTTCATCCTCACCCAAATCGCCAATTCCTTCCTGTTCCCTCAGTCTTTGAACTACGCCACACGCATCTTTGTCCAAACCCAAGAGCCAAGCATCTTCATTTACAATTCCATGATCAAAGCATATTCTCAATCAGAAACCCCATTTGTTGCTTTATCAATGTATAACAATATGAGGGTACGCGAAAATGCGGTTGGCGACCAGTTCACGTACCCTTTTGTGTTCAGAGCTTGTGCTAGTGAATTGGCTGTGGAGAAAGGGAGGGAGGTTCATGGTGTGGTTGTTAGAATTGGGTTTGATTCGGATAGGTTTTTGTGTAGTTCTTTGCTAAACTTTTATGGGGTTTGCGGAAAAATTGAGAGTGCAAGGCAGGTGTTTGATGAATTTAAGGCGAAGGATGTTGTTTTCTGGAATGCCATGATAATGGGTTATGCGCGAAATGGGATGGCTTTGGAAGCTTGTGAGGTTTTTAGGGAGATGGTGAAAGTGGGAGAGGTTGCGCCCAATGAAGGCTCGGTTTTGGCATTGATATCGGCTTGCACGGTATTGAAAAACTTGAAACTTGGGAGAGAAATTCATGGGTATGTGAGAAAAGAGGTAACTTTTGGGTTAAGTGTGAAACTGGGAGCTGCAATGGTTGATTTGTATGCAAAATGTGGCTGTTTAGATTATGCAAAGAGAGTGTTTGAGGGAATGCCTGAGAAGAATTCTGTGGTGTGGAACTCACTGATAAGTGGTTATTCCCTTAATGGGTTTTCGAGGGAAGCAATTGATCTTTTCAAGGATATGTGTTTTTGGGATGTTAAGCCTGATAGGTACACAATTTCAGGCTGCTTGTCTGCTTGTGCCCAAACCGGAGCTATTAATCTAGGGAATTGGGTTCGGAAATTTGCAGAGAAGAATGGACTTTGGGACGAGTTCATCGGGACCTCTTTGGTAGACCTGTATGCAAAATGCGGTTCTATTGAAGCAGCTAGAGAAGTGTTTGATCAAATGGATAAAAAAACTGTTGCAACATGGAACACTATTCTCTCTGGATATGCGTCAAATGGGCAGGCTGGATCTGCAATAGAGCTCTTTGACGAGATGAGAAAATCAGGTGCTATTCCGGATAGCATAACCTTTCTTTCGATTTTACATGCTTGTGCTCATGCTGGTTTGGTTGAAAAAGGCAAGCAATACTTTGATTCGATGGTGAAAAATGATAAGATCACCCCAAAAGTTGAGCATTATGGTTGCATGGTTGATCTTCTCGGCCGTGCTGGACTTCTAAAAGAAGCAAGGGAGCTCATTGAGAGGATGGATATTGAACCAAATGTAATTGTATGGGGATCACTGTTTAATGCTTGTAGCATGCATGGTGATATTGAGGTGGGAGAGTGGGCAGCTGACCATATTTTCAACTTAGAAGCAATGGATGGGGGTTCCTACGTGTTGTTAGCAAATATTTATGCTGCAGCTGGAAGGTTTGACAGGGTTAAAGCAGTTAGACAGGCAATGGTTGACGCAAGTTTTTGCAAGCTACCTGGATGTAGCATGATTGAGATTGGTGATGTAGTTCATGAGTTTCTTGTTGCTGACAAGACACACCCTAAATCAGAAGAGATCTACTCGGTGTTGGATGAATTAAGCGACAAGCTCAAGACGGCGACAGGCTCCATGCACTTGCCTGCTTTAGCTGGAGAGCATTTGGAAAGTAGCTGAGGGACAACCATTTCTCGGTGAAATTTTGTGAAATTGGGTAAGGGACAAGGGAAGTGAGGGGAGCAGTTTGGTACTCTGACCCTGTTGCTGCACCTGTTACAGAAGTACAGGGCAATTTAAGCAATCCTTTAGCCATGGTTTGCATATTCCAGATTGCAGGGCGACAGACACAGAATCTCACAGAAATGATTTGGAGATTTATGTGAAGGTTTCATTCTTTCCTTGATAATGCTTCACAATTGACTTCTGAGCTTATTCAGGGACATGTTTTGTTGAATATCTGTCAGTCTAAAATTAGTGATCTCTCTTGCAGATGGCCTTCTAATTCTTCTTCATGGAACATGCTGGTATGACAGGATACTATTAGTATCATTCACACTGTTGAAGTTTAAGGTCTAGAATTGTATATCTCAACTCAAGTACAGCCATAGTTTCCATAATTTCATATTTTCAGATATTTTACTCAGCTGACATTTTCTGTTTCGGATTTTGGTGATCAAAATGCTTCCTCTAATTGCACATTCAGCACAGCCAGCTTCTTATGTCTTCACTCAATTTGAAACACCTCCCGAGCTGACCGGAGTAATTTTTTTATAAAAAAAACCTTCAGAACATGTTACTGATGATTTTATCAGTTGTTATTTATATTTCTTTTCTGAAATAATTTTAGGCCTGTATACTTATTTAAAGTTGTACAACATCTTAATGAGCCTAAAATTATTGTACTTCAACTGGACCCATGAGTTTTGCTACTCTCAGACGTTTTGGAAAAAAGTTGTGAACAAATTTGGAAATTTTGGTGAGTTGATTGATGTTATTGTTTCTTGTTGTTTATATAAATTGACAAGAATAAGATTCGTTTCCACGGTCCCCTTGGCAATGCTATTGTCAAGGGACCGCCATATGCTGTAAAAGTGGCCTCCACCACCAGTATTAGCTCAACTGCTCAAGCCACCAAATTAAGAGGTTCCTCCGACCATACCTCAAATCACTTTCTCCCAATTTAATTTTCAAAGACAAAACAACATACAAAAGGAAAAGACAATTCATGTGCTGCTAAACAGTAAACAGTAAGATTAATTTCATTTGCTAGTGTCAGCAGCTCGTGACGGTGGTGAAATGCAATAACAAATGAATTGTGCGCTTTACATTCATCAGTGATTAGAAATCGCTAATGCATGCATAAGGCAACATAAGATAGCTCTAGCAATCAATTCAACTTGCCATGATGCTTAAAATTTAGAACACCACTCTGTGTGATGAAGATGTAATGAAAGTGAAAGATGGGATAAAAGCCTGACCCTGCAACCTTGTTTAAGAGTTGGGAGAGGGACCTCCTTCCATTATGCGGTCACATTTGTATCCCATCACCAATCCAATTCTATGATGTTTGTACATCAGAATGTTATAATTGCCCAATTGGTTCGCTACACGAGTCATTCTCTATCCAAAACAGAGTTACATACATGGAACAAGGGGAAAATAATAGTCATTTTTCTTATGTCAACCAGGACAAACGATTTGATTGATTATAACTTACATGCATGTGTAAGACAAGTTTTTCAGAATGAAACATTTTTTATAAGAAATGTTACAGTCGGTCGCCTACACGCATGTGCAAGAATATATATTTATTTATTTTGTACATGTAAAAGTGAAACTTGTTTTATAAGATGTGTTACGAACAGTCGTTTATGCGTGCGTGAGTGACTGTCAGCCGTTGATGTAAGTAAATCCTATAATACGATTCGGAAACAAATGAGTACTTGTCCTTAGCATAAATCTCTTTTGATTAATAGTGCTAAACAGCTACGACCCGAAAAAAATTTAAAATTAAAATTAGAAGTTCTATAGGGATAGTTGGTATTTGGATTGTTCCTCATGTTAGGTGAAAGGAGCAGTAAACATGGGCTTGTTTGGTGGGCCTATGGCGCTAGTTGGAACCCTGAAATAGGGTCCTTCTCTAGTTTGCAGTTGGGTGTACGGAAACAGTGTATAGATAGAGAAAATGAAACAATGCGATGCGACCCAGAAAAAATTGTGGGAAATTTGATTCACTTAGAATCGTACACAAACGAAAGTGATTGATAAATTAGTAAATTTGTACGAATTTAAATTGTGGTTTTTGATAGAGAATGACATGTGTGTAACATGTGAACTTGTTTTGTTGTTGTATATGTCCCGCCTCCTTAAATTTATGTTAACCTTTTCTAAGACAATACCATACAATTTCTTATCAACGCGAAAGTTCCAAGTAAACATCTGAGTTTATAACTCGTTTTGTACTCGCTTGGGTCTCTTGCATGGGCCTAACTAGCCCAGAATGTACAAGGAAGATTGAGGAAGGAGGAAGATGTCAGCACCCAACATCATGTTATGTTTGATGACAGTTTTGCGTTGCCTTTCAAGGAAAGATAACTTTGAAGATGATATGCCAACACATTGGAAATAATACATATTAGTTTTCAGCGTCGCATTTTTGGTGGTCAGCAATTTTATTTGACAACTTTCACCAAACAATGAGAAAAATGTCAAAATGTTTTCAATTTCCATAGATACATACCCAAATTTCTTCATCGATAGTACTTTGAAAAATATTCCAAACTTATGATCACTGTACTGTGCCAATATTCCCCTAGCAGCCCTTCTGAACAAATTTTGTCAAAAACTAGAAAATTTCCAAAAGTAGGTCAAGCCTCATCCCACAAGGCCTAGATTTATTCCCTGGCATGCATTGACAAATAGCATAAAATAAACTTCCCTAAAGTCCACAAATTTCAATCTCACTGGTGAGAAGAATTTGACAAAAACACTCTTGCCAGCTGAGGTCTTAGATTCGAATCATCATAACATCTTGACAATGTGTATGAAAGAACCTCTTCCCTACTATAACCTGTACATGAAAAAAAAAATTATTATTTATTTAAAAAGGGTTGTGAGGCACCTGATGGCTGGTGTGACATCACAGAAGAAAGGGCAATGAACAAAACATGATCAAATCAAAACCATGCTTTGCTTTGCTCTATTATATGTCCTTTTGTTGCTTTCTTTTCTTTTATTTTTCCCCATCATCTATCATATCGCCTACATTAGCTGAATAGAGCTGGTGGGGTATGTATATACAGTTGCTGTCCTTTTTCCTTTTTACCATTCTGGGTCTTTTGTTCCCTCTTCTAACAGCCTAAGATGGTAAGTTTTCACGCTTCCCCAGCGGAAGCTGTCCCTTGCAAATACAAAATATTATCTGCTTTGCACTCTTTTACGTGAGAAATTAATTAACTAGGCTAATTCCTAATTGTAATTAGCAACTTTCTTAAAGGCAGATCATCTCCTTCCTCTTTCTCTCTCTCGTTCACTTGAAAATTCAAATCTCAATCATTCAACTTTACTTAAAAGTATCTAGCGACTCACACCCAAAAGCATTCACCCTCGATATGAAGTTTTGTATTCGATTTCCCTATCACCCAAAAATTCAATAGTAAAGAGAATTAGCAATTGGGTTTTGTTCAATGACCTTGATAGAGGGGATTTCTAACAAAAAGATGCAGCTCCTTTCTTAACAATACCAAGTGCAAATGCTATAAAGATTGGGTGGAACATTGGCAGTTAAATATATATGCCTAGGTCAAGAATAGAGATTGGATTCCCACATATATCTTTCAAACATTTTGACATTTTTCTTGGGGAGGGGTGGGGTTAGGGAGCACAGTGAAGTAGAGGTGAGTGGTTGAGTGGTCCATGCACGAAATGCTTAGTGTTTTTGTGGTCCATGCAAGAAAGCCTAACAAAGAGATAGAGGAGCGGGGGCCAGAGAGGAGGCAAAGGAACATGAAGTCGAAAAAGAAGGTGGGTAAAATTAGCAACTGCCTAATCCCATCATCAAATGAAAACCAGCTATTAATCTCCAAAACCCAGTAACAAAACATGAAGTTCAAACAAGATGAAATGATCCTAATTACAATCCTTAATTGCATGCATGCATTGACCGTGTGTGAAGATGTAGAAGAGCATCTTCTGAATTACACGTATCTAATCTAAGCACAGCAAATTGCATGTCTCAATTATGCGATTTCTGTATGATTTATAATTATTGTGAGCATTTTTTCCCGGACTCTCTCACTTTTTGCCAAATTCTCCCCTCTATAATTGTTCCCAAATGATACCATTTTCTCAATGATTTCAGCCACAAGTGCGCCTCGATAAGCAAGCATCAACAAGGTACAACATAAAAATGTCTTCAACACCAAACACAGAAAAACGTTTCTTCAAACTCTGGATAAGGCCACCCCATCCTTTGTGTGGGGTAACATCATCGTCACGCGCACCATAACTAATTAAAATTGTACATCTGTCTTTTTTAGAGTATTATTCCACATAATGTTCTGAGTTGTTCCACTGACTACCTGTTGATTTTAGGGTTCGATGACAACTCAATGCCAATAAATATTGGAAGGCAAGCGCATCACAAAAGTTTGTGATCACAACTGTTGGTCTAATTATCACGCTATGCATCAAGCACAAAATATTCCACTTAAACTTAATGCCCATTTTATCTGTTCGGCTAGCTAGCTAGGGTTAGCTAGGGTAGCTTGGTGATGCGAATGAATGGGAGAGAAAACGATTAGGCATAAATGGGAAAAGAAAAAGCATAACAATGATTTTGGATATATTTTCGTCAGTCAGATCATGAACTACTTTCATATATTCATGCATGGAGAGATGGAGTGGTCAAAACGAACCAATAATGGGGTATTTGATCAAATGAGAATCCACGAGTGGGTTTTCCTCTTTTCTTTTTCCTAAACATCAATTGACAATGGGGTTCGCTTTTCCTACTTGCTTCCTTTGACCTTTCTGCCAAGTCTCTTCCAAAAGAATGTTACCCCACACACACCATCTGATAACTACGAGTTTGGAAACTAACGAGGACTGTTTTCCAGCATTATTTGAAAATTACAAGTAACAAATTTTGTCAAATAAGCTCATTTGAGATATCCGCAACTGAAACTCTATGTATATCATATTATATATTTATATATAAAGATAAAGGATCTGTCGAATTCAGAATCTTTTCGTCGGGGCTAATTGAGGGAGCCCGATTCGCCTCACCAAACTTGCTCTAATGAAGATACATATATCTCTAATTTAGGTTTAGATAAGTTGGCATACATAAAGAGGGTTGTTCCTAGAATTGAAGATACAGATCAAGAAAGTGAATCTCAATTATTTATGAAACCTATCAATTGGTAGAACCATTGATAAAAGAAAAAGATGTTGCGGTGACAAAAATTACTACATATGAATTCGACAAGGGTATCGATCGAGACGTGATGTATGCCAAATATAATTTAGATTATCTAATAGTCATGTCACATATTTTCAAAAAAGTACGAAGTTCGTCAAGTAATGCATTTGTGTTACGAAACACAATGGCTTGGGCTGAGGGTCTCAGTTTACGTACGTAGCATAACTTGCAATACATGAGATTAACTATTGTCATTAATCCGTACCACTTCAAGACATATGTATGCCATTTAGAATGTTGATAATAAGCCTACATACACCTGATGTACTCAAGGCCAAACCATTGAAGCACACAATTGGGACTCGAACATGCACCTTGTAACTCCAATGAAATTAGGAGTGCAGCATACCAAGGGCTCGTTTGGGAGTGCTTCTTCTTGAAACACTTATTCTAATAGCGATTATGTCAATAGCGCTTATGACATAAGCGCTTCTACAAAGAAGTAGTTGTCGTTTGTATGTCACATTTAAAAGTGTTTTTACACTATATAAAAGCAATTTTGATATTTTTGTTGAGTGTTTGGCTGAAACAGTAAAAACGCTTTTAAAAGTACTTTAAAAAATGTAAAGAATCTCAAAATATTATAATAAATATAGGAAATATAAATAATAATAAAAAGAGGAAAAAAGAAGAAGAAAGGAAGGGTATTTGGCATTTTAAAAATTAAATATGGATATTTTCGGCATTTTAAAAGTTTCATTA